ATGAAAACGTTGTAATCATCGAAGTTGCTAAACAACAATGTGCGAAAATCGTTTATTCCCTTGGATTATACGCAATTACTGTCTTATTTATGCTGGCACATAAAGATAATATGTCCTTGAAATTAAATCATCATCCAATACATTGAATGTCAAGGAATCAACATTTTTCAAAGCCGAAAACAAGGATAATTTTAAGAGCTGCGTGTTCAAAATCACCCTTTTAGTTATTTAAACGGTGGTTATGCCCAGTGCAATTTAAATTACGTGCAATTTTTCGTGTGTTAAAATAACAATGGAATTAGCTTCATTTCGCTGTTATCCAGAATTCATTTAAACACCTGACACTTCTATATTATCTACTAGCTGCTGCCCGCGACTACGTCTCCGTAGAATAGGCTGAAGGCGAAACATTCTGGCAGAAAAACAGTTATATACATAAAAAGATGTATATAAATTATAGCCTATGTCTTATTTTGATATATAAGCTATATTATTGTAAAGTTTCATTTAAATCCATCCATCAGTATTTCCGTGAAAGAGTAACAAACATCCACCCATAAATACAAAATTTCGCCTTCATAATATTTAGTAAGGATATCGGCAAGTTCGTGTTTCTATCTGTGGAACAAGAAAAACTGTTTAATCGAAGCTCTTCCGAACCGTGGTTTGTCCCGTGGAGCGGTGTCGATGAAAAAATAATCCATAGAGCTCCTGTTATAGTTATACGCGTTTCATCAGTCCCACCAGGGAGTGGATATTGATTGCGATTAGGGCTTCCCCTTACGTAGGGGCCGTGGATTTAAGTCGTAGGGTAGTCTGACGATTCAGAGGCAACGCTTTGCACATCTGTATAACTACGTATTGGGACCGGTAAATATTTATAGGCCAAAGTAAACGGCATTCGTAAGAGATGCAGCGAAGATATCAAACCGCCTTTGTTCACCATGGAGTTGTGCACCACATTACACTTTGCTAAAAAAAATAGAAAGAAGCTAAGCAACAATTAATACTGCGGTTATCTAATAAATAGGTTTAAACATACTCGGCTTGGCACCGACTCCAAAAATTGTTAAATTATGTTGGAGATTAGGTTTTATTTTAACTTGATTATATTAGATATATTGATTACATTAATTATAATAGATTATATTAGACGTAGGTTTGATTTTAACTTGATTATATTAGATTTAGCATTATTTTAAACTTTTTCGTGTAAATAGTTTTTTGATTTTTTTTTTTGTTAAAATATTTATTCATTAAATTTTTTATTATCTGGTAGATAATATGGTATGAGAGGTATAAAAATAGTACCAAGTTTTTATATTTTAATTTTTTTAAATCTATATAATAAAGTCATTTATAAAACAGTGGGATGCACATTGTTTATTATATACTACCATATAATCTCTTTTATAGTATATAGCAAAAATACTGCTACTATTTCTCTATTGTTCTAACGTAATGTTTATATCTTATGTTCGCAGTAAGCAACAGATGTTGTGAGGAAACAAATTCGCACATTCGAACATTTCGCAAACTCTTCGCAAAGCCGACTACTCAATTTTTAAATTTATAGCGAATAGCTTATTATTAATTTTCATTATTTTTTCTATTTGATGGTTCCATTCAATATGCATGCGATGGGAGTCTATTGCACGATCAGTGATGAAGCAACAATAAGTATGTATTTGCAAAAGTAAGTAAGTATAAGTGTTATTTCAAGACTCCATATTTGCTTTGGTAGCAACCCATCATCTTCTCCTGTTGCGTAAACAAGCGAGTAAAGTCGGGCGAGAGCCACAGCAACACAAAAGAGGCTTATATTTGAAGCAGTTACTATTCCATTTCGTCCAATTGATTAGGTCAGTGAAACTTAACTACTCTCTGCTCCAAACCCTCTAGTTTTTCGAATGTTTTTGGGTGGCAGTCGTTACTTAGCATCAGTTGTATCTCTGCTTGTTTGTCACTCTTACAGCTTTTGCACAGTTTGGTTCCTTCGCCGTTTTCAACCGACCTCAAAATGGAGGAGGTTCTCAATTCGACTATATTATTTTTATGTTTGTTACTTCAGAACTTTCGACCGTGTGAACCGATTTTGATGATTCTTTTTTTTTTATTCGAGAGCTGGTGCTTCCCGTGTGGTACCATATTAATTTCATTGGTATTGGATCTTGGGCGGCGGAGAAACTGGGGGAACTCCTGAAAGTCAATTATAAAATTAATACAGAGCGAGATATTTGAAGTCGGTTTTTTTTCCTTAACAAAACAAGTAATTTTTTATTAACGAAAAACAAAAACATAAAAATACAGTCGAATTGAGAACCACCTCCTTTTGAAGACGGTTAAAAATGGACTTGTTAATATTACTAAATACCCTCGTCCATACTGTGTCAGTGCATGGTGTAATATCAATAGGATTGGAAGCGATGTGTCTGTAAGAAATTCTTTACAGATTCCACTCCATAGTACCCTAGAGTCGAGGCACGCGTTGTGAACTCCGTAATAGAAAATAAGAAACTGTTTGGACAAACGTCCGTTCTCTCGGGCGGGAAAAGAAAATAGAAGGGCACAGTAGACGGTAAACAACGTTCCAGTTTCGCGAGACAAAAGAAAGTAATCGCTTTGTTTGTCCCCTTCTGTCTAATTGGAGCGCGTGTTGCACTATCCCGCTTTGTCTACCCAGAATCTGGAATTACGCAGTCTTTGTTTCTGTCATCTTGCACTAATTCTGAAGTGTTTGTGTAGGTTAACTGCGCTATTATAATTCACAGTTGTATGTTCGCACACTCGAAAATAGCAGTTTTTTCTCTCTCAAATTAACTGACTGCTTGTTATCTTTGGACATTGTACTACAACTTAGTCCGATTACAAGAACTCTCTAAACAAGCCAAAAATATCCAAAGATCATTCGCAGAAAATATTTGAAGAATGGCTCGATTGCTTCTCAAAACTCTTAAAGGTTTTACACAGAAAGATTACATAAAAGCGGTTATATGTTTTGTCTAGAAGTAAAAATATGAAAACAAAAGCCGTTTATACTATCTTTAAAAAAATATAAAATAGATGAACAAAAGAGCTTTTTTTTTTAGATGAACAAAATAGTTACAAACTGAAAACCTTCAAGAAAAGCCTCAAGCCTCTTGGCTGTTTGCCCCCATTTGCCCCCATTTTCAAGTACTATATTGTTATAAGTTATAACAAAATGTCTCTTAAAACCTGCTTGATCTCAAATATTTGTGAGTGAAATTCCGAGTTGAAATCGATTTCATCGGAGCGTTATTTACGTGGCTATTATTGCAATATGTACAACCGCTCTCATCCCTTCGCGCGATCGCCTTTAAACTGCGAGGGGATAAATTAATTCCCGCAATTAATGGAGGGCTCAGATCCAAAGCTGGAGTGATCCCCAGTGGAATTCAATTATTGATGCCTCCCGCAAGCGCCCGCTCACCAATATGTCTGCCAACGTTGAGCGCGAAGGATAATTGAACGTTGGACGTTCAAAACAGATATTTATCTATGGTCCTTTTGAGAAGTTTAGCCAAGTCATAAAACGTGGACATTCGGAAGAGCGAAAAATCTTTGAATAAAATTAGTACATACCATTAAGCATCACAGACGCCCTTAAATAATAAGTACTAATCTTAGGTATACTCTACAACTTAAACCGATAACTATTGTGACATATTTCATTAGATTTTGTTAACCGAACTAATTAAAGATGAAGAAATATTCGATATTGAATTTTATTCATGACTTTCTTTAATTAGACATAACCATCGAGCTCAACTCAGAGCTCGGAGCAATATCATATATATGTTTTACTCAGAATAATACTCGGGTTACACTTTTATACATATACAGGCTTCAACGCTACGTCGATTTAGGTCGCCGCTCGGAAACTCCTAACAACGGGCCGAAATGACCTTACGCTACGCCAACAATCCGCCATTGTTATAGAACAGAGCTTTCGCGTCGTACGCTTCGAGATATTGGAGCCCGAAAAACCCGTTCGAACGGCCCGCATGTGAGATTAACTATTGTTAGCGTCGTACAGAGTGATCCTTGAACGGTATGTCTAGTGGCGGGTCGGCTGAATAACAAGGGGGCTAAGGTAGAGGGCACAGACGCGGCCGGGGCGGTGACAAGCGAGAGTGGCCGCTAATTGCCTCTCGAGGGCCAATTACGACTTGCTATGCGAAACGCGGCGGGCCTCGACCTTAGTGCGTCATGCATTAATACCATTTAGACATTAATCCGCCCATGTTCCGTTAGAAGGCAGCGATGGAGTCTATGCGATGCCTAAATTCACTATATGTTTTAAGAGATCTTAATCCAGATACTGAAAACCCAATACATCATTTGACGATGACTACGAAGAACTTGTCTTATGTGACACTGTTCTTGTAATTAACCAGCAGGTCTTTTGGTACTGGCGGTTTTTAATTGTTCACCTCTCGTACCGTTCAGAACAATCTTTTGGCTAGGTGATGCAGCATTGGATTTCCAGGCAAACACAATCATGATTAAATGGTTATTTGAGTGAATTGCTAGCACAGCTGGTGCGTAAAATCTATATATTCATCTACCTAATAATGAAATGTCTTATTCATTTTATAAATTAAATAAATAAAACGTGATACGACAGAAAAATTAAGATATTTTGAAGACTGCTTTATTAAAACACTTGGAAAACCAGTCTCGTCTTTGCAAAAATTTTGACAACCGCTCAATAAAGTCAATTATACATAGTAGGTCGATATGTATTCGTTGAAGTAAGGACCTATGACGGCTGCATCATAAATCATTTGCTTTGTAATATAACCGAACAGCAGCAGAGCCTTCGCTGCAGTTGTACGAATGGATCTTCTCACCCTGGGAAGTATCCACGAGTACACGAAATACCAATGTATTTACAACTTAACATTTCTTCAGGCGATTGAAACCAATTAAATCATACGTAATCATACGTATCATAAAAAAGGTTTGCATATCGCTCATTCGATCCATTCTCCTATATGAGAAAAATCGCTTCCGCCCCCGCCGCCGCCCGTCACACAGCCCCGCCGGCCGACGCTGAAGTGTGACGCGGGCTCTCCGGCGACGAACGGAGAGCGGGCGAATGTGAAACACTCGAAACACTTGAGCCGAGCGCGGATTACGAATCGCTCCCGTGCCCGCCCGCCGCACGTACACAGGCGCGCACAACAAAAGACGCGCGCACCCACACGGGCGCACGCGGCGTGCGCACGGCCTTTTGAGGATCTTTCAGTGCCTAGGCCAACTAGCGCTGCGCCCACCACGGGACTCGTTATTTGTTTCGCATGTGTAGCGGCTTCGGCCCGGCTTGTTAAGTCGAGTGCCTCGATTGATTGTTTTTCTTTTTTTTTTTTTTTCTTTTTTTCTTACATAACGTTATTGAAATCAACTGTGGGCTGATTGCGGGAGCGCGGTACACTTTTCAATTAGGTACTGCCTTCAGTGAGGTGTTTTATACAAATTTAATCTGTATCTCTTTTTCTTTATCGATTACTACAATTCTAGTTAAACATTTCTTGGACTGTATCGGTCACTTAAATTTGTAAGCATTTATGTTTGTGTATGTGCAATAGATGCAAATTTGATGTAATATCAAGCTTTCCATGTAATCCACATAATAATGGTCAAGCAGATTACCGTGGTACGACAATTTCCCCTTTGCAACACCTGTAGGGTTGCAGATGTATTGCCACCTTATAACAAAGTGGTCCCTGACTACCTCACTCACCGACTAAACGCAAAAGTGTAACACTTCCACTTGACGCTGGTCCTCTTTGAGCCTAGGGTGCTTACCCAGGTGGACAACCAATCATGCCACAGCGAAGACTGTTGCGTGGCCCTGCCTCGCTTAATAAAGCATCGTCTCCAACAACGTATATATTTATTTATAAGACGGCACTTATACGAATAAAAATAAACCCACCAAAGATTATAATTGCAAAATTATAATTAATTGAAAATCTAGCGATATATTTCTTGTGTCGTTCACAGCGCCATTTGATTCTGTGCATATTTTATTTCCCGAATGCGGCGTTTCAACGGGTTATTTATTAATTTGACTAAAAAGCCAGCATTAGCAGCAAGTCCTTAATTTATATCTTGAGAGGGAATCTCTTTTCAAAATTTTAATTTGCCAATCAATGATATTATATACAAATACGCGTTTGCGTCAAATTTAAAACATCATTGCCACAGCCTATGTTTTTGTTGTTAAGGGCTTCTGTTTTTTTTATGTGTGAAAAGTTGCCAAGCGTTGGTTCACCTGATGTTAAGTGAATAACGCCGACCATGGACATCTGAGAGTTCCAGATGCGTTGATAACCTTTTGAAAATTGGGCTCCGGCAACCTCACTCACCAGACGAAACGCGAAAGTATTATACTTCCACTTTACGCCGGTCTTCTGTGAGGTCGGGGTACTTACCCGGACGAGCCTTCCCATTTGTGCAACAGCCGAGGCTGGTGCGTGGCCCTACCACCTTAAAATGTTCATATGTGTGTTCATCGTAAATAGGTGTGCTTGGTATTCAGTATTTCACTTCAGGGACTAAAAAGTTTCATGGTACATAGACAGCGTTTGACATCTAAAATAGATCTGGTTTAAGTTATGCGTATTTATGGTGAAATGTAGTAGTCATGATTCAGAGCTCTAGTTCTTCGTAATCTATTGCTATGCGTTGCTATACAGGGAGATTTTTTGAGAAGTGCCCAAATCTACACAGGAGGTTCAGACTCGGTAGTATATTCGTTTATTGAAATAAAAAACAAAGTTTTTGTTTACAAAAAACATGCCATTGTATTCCCAAAAAAACAGAACATGTTGACAATGCGGTAGTCATTCATAAATACCTAAATTTTACTGCGCACGAACTTGTGTGCGTGTTAGTTATGAATGATCGCGCGTAAAATAAACGAGTTCCCCATAAATCACTCACTTTTTTGTATAAATTCAAATGAATGTAATTAATTAATTACGAGTGATTTTAAATATTTATCATTTTTATATAACATTATTTATGTATAGAATTTAATTAAAAAAATGTATACACTTAGAAAAGCCACCCTGTATATCTGGTCGAGGTTGCGTGCGTACCGCGCCTCCTTTCGACGCATGCCACATGTACTTACGTCGGCCATTTACATGCTGAGCAAGTTACATACGCGTTTGCCATCATCGCTACGTATACGGCTTACCTTTTTGAACTTAAGCGTAATATTTGAATGGGATTTATGACGTATGTAAGTTTTGTGTTTATGCCCGCAATAAGTTTGTGTCTATTATATTCATTGTTTGTTCCCTTTGTGATATGAACAAGAATTAAGCATTTAATGGTTAAAGTAATGTTATAATTTTTTCAGTAAATTATGATATTAGGAAACGTGACAAATCGAAAGTATCTTCAAATTAGTCTCTTTTGTTAACGGTGGTATTTGTTTTGAATATGTTTTTAAAAATATATTTAATTTTTTGCCTCTTATACGTTATTAGTGTAACAATATTTTAATACGAACTAGAGTTGTGTTGCTTTGCATTTGGTTTAAAAGGGTTTAGACTAAAGTTAATGTTTTGTAGACACAGGGAAACTCTATTTTTAAAGCTTGCGAGGACCTCAGTAATTCAAGTTATCAGGGCGTATTCCACCACGCGGCTACCCCGCTTAAAACTCGATCAATTACTAAAGCATCTGTAATCAAAAAATATCTAACAAGATTAGTCAGCTGAAGGGGCCGTAGACCGCCCATATAATTTATAGAATCGATAACCGATGGGGAAGAAAGGTTCTTGAGTGGCAGCCTAGTACTGACCATCAGCAATGTTAGATGGATCACATCTAAAAAACCTATGGCGTTGTAGATGCGTTGCCAAAATTTAAAAGATTGAGCCATCGCTAACCCACTCACCGGACGAAACGCAAAAGTATAATACCACCAAATGACGGCGGACTTCCGTGAGGCTATGGTACTTCCCCGGCGTTATCATAGTGAATTTCGTAATATAAAAGGCATTTTCGAAATCATCGGCATTTTTCGGTGGTAGGGCCACGCAGCAGCCTCGGCTGTTGCACGAATGGGCAGGCCCGTCCGGGTAAGTACCACGACCTCACAGAAGACCAGCGTAAAGTGAAAGTATGCCAAATACTTTCGCGTTTCGTCTGGTGAGTGAGGTAGCCAGAGCCCGATTTTCAAAAGGTTTGTTAACGCATCTGTAACACTCGGGTGTAGCAGATGTCCATGGGCGGCGGTATTCACTTACCATCAGGTGAACCGTCTGCTCGTTTGGCAACATATCACATAAAAAAAACAACATTAGCGGCAAACCAACTGGAAATGTCGGGCCCGCGCTATGAAACCGCCTCGAGTGCGTGCTCCGAACGCGCGGCTAATGGAAGCGCGCGGCACTAATCCAGCGGAACGGAGCCCGTCCATGAATAACGGATGCGCGGGCATACCGTGTACCGTACCCTCCCGGCTTATTTACGCCGCCAGGCGGTAGGTATCATCGTCGGCCACTTGTGCGTAATTAATCGCGAGGGCTGTCCATATTCCCGTCGAGGCACGGGGCTTTATTAAATTTTAGCGCTCTCCGGGCCCGACCGCCGCCCCCTCTGCGGCACCCCTCGCCTGCGCCACCCCTTAGGAATGAATAGAGCCGTCACTTTTACTATTCACAGGGGCCCCGGTGGATTAGCGAGATGAGTTTCCCGATTCCTCCCGCGGGGGCTCGGATTGCGCGCGGCGCAGTATCTAGGCTTTGCAGCGATCGTGCGACGATTGTGGGCGGGCGTTTGTTGTCGTGACACACGTTTTTACGTACGATACCATCAGCGTGATGCTCACATTTGCTCTATCGGCGATTTGCTTATAACAAACTTTCTCCCATAAGGTTTCGCACAGTTTTTAAGTTTAGTTTAAATACACAGAAATGGAAACCTCTTTTTGTATCAACGGTATTTTTTTGTAACCAATAACGGTGTTTTATTAAAAGAGAGTCTTCGACGTTTATCGATAATTTATTACGTCGAGAATCTTGTTTTTCCCGTTGTTACTTTTCCAATGCAATAAAATCGTGTTCTAAACGATTCACGAACAGTTCTATGAACTGTAGTTAATTTATCGAAGGATTGGATAAAACTATATGCCCCTCAACGTCTTTCTTCACTTGAAAGCACACTTGGACCATAAATGACGTCCTTTACATCTTCGCTTTTATATGTTAGAAGATGGCGGATAACTGATATTAAGTGATAACTGCCGCCCATGAACACCCGTCCGGTTGCAGTAGCGTTGCTACTAACCTTTTAATAAAGTGGGCACTTCCACTTCTTACACAATAGTCGACCTTCTGTGAGGTCGAGGTACTTTTCCTGACGGGGCTGCCCATTCGTGCAACAGCTGCCCTACCAATGTAAAATTTCTAAACTGTTATTAAATTTCTATACTGTAAATCATCACTTCAAAGTCGTCCCACTGTCTGTCTGTCCTAATGTATGCTTAGATCTTTAAAACTACGCAACGGATCTTGATGCGGTTTTTTTTACTAGATATAGTGATTCAAGAGAAAGGTTTGTATGTATAATATATTGCGCCCGGGCGAAGCCGGGGTGGGTCGCTAGTATATAATACGAATGCAGATAACATACGAGATTTATGCAATTCAAATTTCGATCAGCGCGAGCGGCTCGCCCCGCGGCACGCGAATTAGGCGGTCCGCTCCCACGTACACGCCCGGGGGTGTAATATTTTTCGCCCCGGCGCAAATACAGCGGTGCGTTCACGCTCCCCATTGTCCGGGGCACAATGTGCGTTCGTTGGGAGATTTTTTTTCAACATAATGAACCGGGCCTCCCGAAGCGCGATCGATCGCCGCCGGCGACCGGCACCCGGATCACACGGTTAATTATTGACACATCCGTTTTTTACCCGGGCCGCTCTGCGCCATTGTGACCGCCCAATATTGTTCCCTTTGTGCGATCCGCTGGAACGGCGATTTCCTTGCAATTGTGAACGCCACCCGTCTCAGGGTGCGGTCTTTGTGCCACTCTGAACGCGCTGTGAGTTGTTTCTAAATTGTCGGTTATCGGTTTTCGTGGATTTGGGATATGTGCTGGTGACCGCAGTGAAGCTAAGATCTCAGTTATAATCCTCTATAGGACTTAGAATCTAAGGCAGCTTAATTGCTATAATGTGTTATTGAAGCGTTACTAATTCAACTGCTGATTTGAGATGTCGGCCTTGTCAATCCTGTTTCACTTAAACCATTAGATATTTAGTGTTTTGTATATATGTTCGATATCTGTTGAGATGGAAACCTTTTTAGTGATGTAGTTTTTAGTAATTTATTCTTTATGAATCTGGCGTCTATTGACAAGCAAACTAACCGGCACTAAAACTAGCAGCCGACACTCCGATCACATCAGGGGATTCATCGTTTCGAATACCATCAAAACACGGAGAATGTTTCGTCATTCCCTATTCATTGCATGCCGAAGCAGCCTGCTACAGTGGCGGCCGCAAACAGAAACGATAATTGAATTATTCGCCGCCAGTACGCAGGCACCGCGACGTCACATGCCGGCCCGATCTTGATAAAGGGTTGTGCGCTATCGCTCACGAAAGAACGCTAACCGATCGACCGATAACGCTCGTCTGGCACGGAAATTTAAGAGTCGAGCGATTCCAAGATAGCCTCCTACCGCTTTGGCGTCATGCGATGCCGCCAGCTATGCAAAAGGACTGATTAAAAATTTATAGTGAGCATTAATAACCTATTTAATAGGCCTCGGGTATATCTTCAGTTCGTACAGACTCCCTATTCACAACTATTTCTTAGATACACATACAAATCTAATAAGGAATAAAACTGTCATACGCATCATAGTTCGATTTCGAGTCAATGTTCTTGTTCCTTAAAACCTTTTATGTTTTAAGGTATGACTTGGATTAAATCGCGGTTTAGAATGGCAATGAATTAATTACTTCGCTTCGTAAGCTGAAATGTGGCACAAGAACAGTTCTGGAAAGCTTGTTAATGATTTAGTCAAGTTTTATTTGAAATCCTTCAAGTCTTTCGTTGTTACCACTAATTGCATAAGTACTCTTAGATCACACGGTATCGGTAATGTTGTATATAAATCAGATTTGTGTAGTGCGGCCTACTGATATATCTCACTTACATGTTAGAGAAATAGTTAATGTTAATGTTAGAGAAGAGATTAATTCGTATAACAGTTTTTATTAAGAACGTTTTCTAACCTAAACTAAATAAAACTGCTCACGTGGCTTGACGCCAAGAACGCTAGCTGCATTTCTTCGCTGAATAATGTTTTTTTGTACCGGAAAAGAACCGCAATAATAAGTTGAGAACATAATTCTTTCTTAGATTTAAAAAAAAAGGACATTCGTCCACATTCATATTAGCAATGAACCAGCTTACCGCCCCACTCGTTTGTTAATTATTAACCGGTTTCGCGGCTTCCCTTTCACCGAATTAGTGATCGGAATGCCCGCGTCTATCGTTCAGTGGGAACCCTTTGTCGGCCGTTGATTGCTCGCGGTGCCACGCGGAAGACGGTGCTTTGCGGGTAGCCGATTTGTATGGGCGTCGCATTACATTAGCTCTTTGATTCGCGCTCCTTTTCACGAGCGCGTCGCCGCGGGACCTTTGAGGCGCCGCAGCCAATGGACTGTCGGCCACCTGAGCTGAAACAAAAGAAATATGAGTACCCCATCCCGTCTAAATACGATATACTCCGAAAGTAACGCTATAGTTCGCTTGAGTGCAAGTTATGGGATCCTAATTGAAAGGTCAAACGATGACAGCGAGGCAGTTGCATAGACAGTGTAATGTCTGAACTAAAACAACAGAATCGAGAATCTTGCGTCCCTGATCAAGCCACCGCTTTGACAATTACGTCTTGTCTTTGTACTTCAGCCTTGTATTAATTGCATATAAGGTCGTGAAACACGACATGATCCTGGACATGAGAAAATCTCGGGTGTTTGTATACACGGCCGAGGAATACGCCTTATTCTCGGGTTTTGGTCTTTGTTTTGTAACAAATTGACGACATTGCGTTGGGTTCCGACTTTCCAGAATTAAGTCGTCCACCGATTTTTCTTTATATGTTAATACACCACAGTCAAAAAAGTTTTTTGTGTGAATATTTTCTAAGAAATAAATTTTTACTTACGTATCACACGTAACTTTTAACGTCATTACACTTGCCAAAGTGAAATAATGATGATGACTCTATCTTTCTATTTCATTAAGTTCACAATTACAATGGTGTGTACAATAGGTAACTTACCTATTTATATGTAGATTAATAAAGTGTTTTTAACTACAGGTTTTTAGTTACGCTTTCGACTAGTTTATTAAATAAAACACTATAAATAGTAAGGTTAATAATTTCTCTCATTTACGCAAATAATTATAATTATATTTTTTGACGGTCCGTCCCGTTACCAAAAATACTATAAAGTATCTATTTGAAACATATTTAAACTTTTTACAAAGGGTAATTGTGATATAAATTACTACATTGATGATAACAACCCCTGGAAATGAGTTGATCGCCCCTAAGCTGTTTAAAAATAAAAAAAAATATGTTCTGTATAACAATGTAATTGTTTGAGAAAAAATGACAAAAATGAGGATACCTACAGAATTCTTTCGCGTGTTTCTTTCTCGTTAGAGAAACCTCAGTACGAAACGGTGGTAGGTTAAAAAATGACTATAAAGACGGAATTTAAGACAGAAACTCACGTTTATTCTTGTAAGTAGCTGGAAATCATCAGGCATGATCAAAGGGGAAGAATTTTTTCATACTCTCCCACCCTCAAAACGTTAGATGAAATGTTGTGAAAGCTGTTTGTTTGTCCCTTTGTTGTCGACATTACCCGCGTTTGAACAAAAAGTTAAGCTTCATCGCGGAATGTGTATAATAAAAGGGTGGATTAATTTTCCATTCTTGTAAAGAGCGTCTGAACGGCAACAGTAATAGACTTTAGCAATTTAATTACGAATACACAGCATTTGCTATTAGGGTGATAACTAAGCGAGCAATGGCGAGTTCATCATCATTATCATCGCCAACCTCTATCAGCCCACTGCTGGGCATAGGCCTCCTCCCTCTTCCGCCATTTTTCATTCTGAGCTGATCGCATCCATGTTTCTCCTGCAATCGTTATGTCGTAGACCCATGTGACAGGTGATATTCCAACGCCAATTATGAGTTATTGATAAGAAATTATACTTTGCTACGGTTTTCTTCACATTTATTACAAAAAGTAATGATCTTTCTTTATTCTAAAGTTAATATATATAAGGGAGCCTTACGCCTGGTTTCTGAAACAGTGATCATCGTAGATGTTAACTAATCAGCTGTCAAATGGCTTTTTAAACAGCATTTGAGTTACCAAAAGGATGGTTAAACTCTTTCAATTGATCATTCTGATCATTAAGAAGATTATTCTGATCAATTCAGAGAGTTTAACCATTCTAAAATTAAATTTGAAAAGCCATTTGGACAGCTGATTAGTTGACATCTATGATAATCAGTATTTCAGAAACCGGCCGTTATAAAGACAATGTTTTTCGCAAACTCAATAATAGATGTTTCCTCCTGTTTCGTTTTCTCCTTGAAAGGGATCCTACAATCGATGCATAATACCAGGAACCAGAAATATAAGTGATGCTTGTTAAATAAAGGTAATGCTAAAACGATTTTGAAATAATTGAAATGCAATCAAAAACGACCATATATTCAAAGTTATTTTAATGATAAAAACAAATGGCTATTTTAAAATAGCTAATACTTAATCAACGTACGGCTCAAAAAACTGAAATAAATTTTTATTCAAAGCTTTTATTCCATCATTATAAAAATTATTAAAATTGTTCTAGCCCTTAAAAAAAGTCGCTAGTACAATATAACGATCTAGAATCAAAAATCAAGCATGTACTGTAAGAAAATGATGTTGCTTAAAACCTCATTTACCTACAGTTTGGTAAGTTTCTCTTTGAAATCCTGAAACAGTTTTTCCCGTAATCACGTTTCCTAATGAGTGTGACTATGTAGACTAGAGGGTGTACCATCTTTTAAGTAGGCTTTTAGATAAAAGTGGCGAGTTGTTTCATGCATCTATTGCATGTTCTTAACTAAGAGCCCACGTTGGCGAGACATGAACGGTGACTCTCCCGCGGAATCAATTAAGCAAATAAGCCACCGCAGCCGCGCCCGTTAATACAGATGTGGCACTTTTCCAAATTGAAACGGCAACAGGCCTGAGAGGAGGGCGTTCGACAACTCCATGCCCCGCCGGGCGCCGCTGTAATGAAAATGACGAGACTAATGTAACAACTGAAAAACATTCCGGCCGGACGGATCCAACAAAGCGCTCATTTTCCGATGGCGGTAATCTCGCCGAAGGGCGGGCATTGTTCGCGATCCTCTCTGCGCTCTTTATGTGCCTACTTTTTTTTTTTCTCCCCGGCCGCGTTTTCTTCCCGGCCAAGAATGGGAAATGCCGAACGGCATTGTCGCCGCCGCTCGCGCCGCGATCGCGCAAAAAGGAGCCCCCGGATGACAACGAAATGACGGGAGCGGCGCGCGGTGGCCGCGGGTGGCACCCCCCCCCCCCTCTCGCCCCCACTTGTAAAAATGTCGCCCCGGCTGGGGCGGCGTGGCTGCGACAAGACGGCATTTTTCACGCGCCTCCCCCGAAGCGAAACGTCGCAAGCGCCGCACCGCCGCCGAGCCAATTCGCATCCTAAGGCCTCAAGTTGTGGTCCACAACTGGCCGTCGACCGGTCTCGACTTTTTGGAGGCGCGCGCCCGTGTTTGCGATAAATCGATAAGTATATATGTGGAGGCCGTGAGCCGAGGGTACAAATTGCACGGATTTCACAGTTCTTTGTGCTAACAAGGCACGGGGAGGGGCGATTTCCGACGGCGGCTGTTTTAGGCGAATATAAAATTTTCGGTTTCCATTCATCGGCTGGATGCTTCAGCCCGATGCAATTAAGCGACAAGTTTCCACGGATGCACTCGACGGGAGTTCACTCGATTATTTTACCAACCACTCTCAATGGCCTCGCGAAGCAATTACCTTGTTTTTTTGCGATGACACTCAAAAAAATAAAATTCCACTACCAATTTACAAATAAATAACCGAGAAACTCGATCGTCTCGTTATTTGCTGAGCTCCATAACAAATTATATGTATACATTTTCCGACGAAGATCCTTACGTTTTGGCACATAATAAAAAAAAATAAGTTTCAAAGAAGTATTTAAATTGCGAATATCGAAATAGTCTACACGTAAAATATAGTACTAGCATGACGATACACAGCGTATTTATTTTTTTCGTACCTAACTAACCGTTTTATTGAGCAGATGAGTCTGCACTATAGTCGTTAGGTACCGGCCAGAAATACGAGGTAAAACTTTACCTTTGGTAAGTGAGGTCAAATGTCTAGCTGTCATGTTCGGCGCTGAAGTATCATTTCGTGCCTACATCATAAGCAGAAACAAAGCAGATTTCGTTTCAGGCTGACTTAATTATCCTAGGGTATTTTTTTGGCGAAACGTCTTTTACTATAGACAGAGTTCCCCAAACTTTTTTGTGTCGTAGACCCCTTGCGATGTTTTTCCGTGTTGGGTAGACCCCCTACTTACCTGATATTGATTTCCTGTAAATTTCTAACTGTAGTGAAGTTTAGTGTTAAGGACTAAAAGTAAAAACACATGTTAATTTATACATTTATTAATCGAATTTAAATTAAAACTACTCAAAATAAAATGTTGTATCTGTTATGTAAAATATACGTAACATTAAATAAACATAAAATGTTATAAGATAGTATGATGTAAGTAAATAGGTACTATCAGTGTATGTGTTGAGATCCACTATCCTTGACCCCCATTTTCATTTCATGGACCCCCAAATTTTTTTTCGCTGACGTAGACACCTTGCAGGTTGTCATAGACCCCTAGGGGTTGATATAGACCACTTTGGGAATCACAGCTTTAGACCCTATTGTCCTACGCTTGCATGACTTTCGTGTATGTTCCTCAAACAATCTTCAGTTGAAATATATATTGCAACACTCGTGGTTAGTTAACTAATTAGTTGAAATATATTTTGACCCACCTAGTTAGTTAACTATAGTCTGTTCGAATTATATTCCACTGCCGCCCGACAATCCCCACTGTTCTGTAGAATCGCACGTCTGCACGTGTATGAGTCTACAGATAAGGTGGAGGCCTATCAAGCCTTGAAACTTGGCGTGACCACGAACTTTGTCGTGAGTGCTATTCCCCCACGGGACAACTATTTGTGTGACTTACAGATAGGTGTCCGCGTGAAATTTATGGTTGTAAAAACATCCTTACAACACAGGATAACGTTATCCTAAAGTAAGGGGAAAAAATAGTCAAAGGAATGAAAGCACAATTATCAATGACTAGAAAATGAATTAATTCTTACAAAATACAAGTCACTATATGTTTAATAATGAAATATTGCCATGCCACGTTACGGCAAATCAGGACATTCTCTAAAATTGTCTAACATTATTTGAACTTAGAAATTGTGGTCATCAGCAGCAAGGGTTGTATCTGTATAACTGACGTTACTCTTTCAGTCCTTACACTGTAATAGCTACATCGAACGCAGAACCGGTGCGCTAGCCAGAACCCACGGGCTTGAGAGATTCATGGGTGATCATTTCAAATGGCGATGGTACCACTTATCATAAGACGTCGTCTGTCATTTTCTAACACAACTTATAAAAACAAGTGAAACTTTGACGATTGCTTCAGAGCGTATCGGCGATATGCAGACTCGGGACAGCGTGGCCCAACACCCGGACCTGAAGGAAGTAAAGGGAGTCGCCGAGTACGTTTCAACACCAGCGCGTGACGTAACCGTAACTCCGGAGAAGTTCTTCAACAGACCCGTTTTCGGTGAGTTTTTAAGAAAAAGTTTTCCCGTTTGTAACAGACACTTGTTTCAACTTAACTAAACACAGAAAACCAAACTGCCAAATCCATGTCAACTAAAATTACGCAATGGTACGTCTTTGGATAATCGATTAACATAATAAATGTTAAATGATTATATTAAATGTATCTTCGACAAATCACATACTAATTGAATGGTTTAATTCTTTTCTCTTCATTTTAATTTCACGTCTCACATTGAGAGACGACCATTTAAGTCATCTATGTGGCATTCTTACAAATAGGTCGGGTATAAGATTTAGACTTAGTAAGTAATACTGAAAAATAGGAAATATTGTTTTCTATGTCATTAAAACACAATCTGGTTATATTTCTATATTTTATTGCTATAACCCGTCAAATACAGCCGAAAATCAAATTATACGAAATATCTCTTTTGATAGAAAATTAATTTCTTTTACCAATTTATCGGAATTAAATTTAACGGACTTATGGGGCACTTCTCAAAGTACGGTGAAATTGTGTTTGTGTAGATTTCATCGAAAACTTAATCTGACATATTTATTATTTCTTAAGATTCAAAGCATATTTATAAACGACCTGGTGATTACTCCTTATAAATAATAATCAAGTGACAGCAATTCAAAGCAACGTAACACAAGAAGGATCTCTCTCACTCGCCTTCGCGTAACATAAGTAAGCGTGATTAGTAATTTCACGCGGATGATTCTTACAACAACCAAACGTCAGTCAACGTCAATTGCAATATTCCTCGGCGTTTATTGATTTACATTAATCCACGCCGCATTACCGGCCGGTAGAAGACTGTCGAACAAACGAGAAGCTTCTCCATGGTCGCATTCATTCGCAACATCAATGGGCGTCATATCACGCGGGCTCGCATCTTCGCCTGCCGCTCGAGTGCCCCTCCACATTCAAATTATCAGATACGTCGATCATGGCGGCGGCTGAACGCGCCACTTTTGTACAATCGCATGTACCGACAACGGGAGAACAGACCTCCGCCATTGTTCGACGCGCTCGCGCATCTGCCGACTAGATTGTATGGAATCGGAATTAGATTTCAAATATTGTTTTTTTTTTTTTTAGTAGAACACCAGCGGTCCTAACGGTGCAGCCTATTCGCTTTAGATCTGTTTGATAATCAATATGATTTATTTCAATTCATTGATGCCAGGAATCAATTATGATATCACTTATTTTTAGTTACTATCTACAAATCAGAATATTTGATATATTTAATATATTATGTTAAATAGCTCCGTCGAGTAGGACAGTGACGCAAGCTTATTGATATATTTATGTTAACAGTTTGAAATTTACTAAGTTTTTTTTATGTAAGTTAGTGATCCCAACTGAACATTCAAGTTTTCAGAAGTGACTAAGTTTCTCCGCTGTATACTTTTTGCGGATCAGAACTACGAAATCCTTATAAACTATACTATACCTTAAAATAATCCTTAGAGTATCACCTCAAAAGGATAGACAGCGCTATACTTTCATTATACGCGTGAACTTACGTCAGAAGTAAATCCAATTTATACTCACCAATCTAAGCATGCTGTCAATTATGTTTGACTTAACATACAAAAAAAATATTAACTATGGTCAGGCCACGTGGCAGTTTCTGTTGCACTAATAGGCAGCCTTTTGCAGTGGCCTCAAAGAAGCGTGAAGTAAAGGCAGTTCTTTTGCGTTTCATCCCTTAAATGAGCTTCAGATTCATATTCTCAGCGGAATTGCCAGTATTGCAAGAGTCCTTTCATTATCAGAAGAACCGCTCGATGAGTTGCCATCCATTTGAAACAAAGAAAAAATTCTACAGATTCCAAAGAATATGGAAGGAACCTGATCCCAGGATCAGAGGTATTGTTAATTTATTGCATTTTTACCCGCGCCCTTTGATTTATAAGAGGACACAATTTTCTTCAAACTTGTATCGGTAACTATTAAAAGTTAGCAATTCATTACGTTTACAAATAAGAATATGTATTGAGAAGTTTTAAAAATGAGAACGGTACGTAAAATAACTCTGGTACTAACTAACTAAAATAACTCTAGTTTTTTACGTAAAAATAAATTTACTTTTATTAACAGTATTGACTTATTGTCGAATTTGATATATTTTATCAAATTCGACAATAAGTCAATAATAGTTAGTTTTATTTTCAACACTTGTTCTGAAGAATAATGTTATATTTCAAATCCGGAGACTATATAAAGCTCCGACGATGGTTGAAATTTCTACACTTGAATGAATCCGAAAGTTATATTTCAGCTTAAATTGCACCTTGCTAAATTAGACTGCGTTTATTTTTAATATTATTTTCCCGACGCTTCAAACCCTTACAGTGATCATTGTCACGGCACAGACTATAAATCACAGGCACATCCGTAATATACTCATTTAGTAATGTGTACACACATTAATACAACAAATTATTAAATTGCATCTGTTAATATATTCCAAATGTAAAAATCTCTTTGACTCATGCTTACTTCATAAAACATACAAAAGTATAATTAGTGTGATAAAAATATTAGATACAGACCAAACGCCTTTTCTGCCTTTAAAATGTAGGACATAACTCTTTCGTGGCTGCGGATAATCCTTTAAATGAGTAGTAGGTACTCTTAAATCATTGCAACGTTCATTGCTCATAATTATTCTTTTTATGGGTTAAAATGAAAAGTTTCGTATGTCGTTAACAGTTTTTTGAATGTTTTTGTTATAACTTTATGTTCAAACAGCTTAATTGCTAACAAGTTATATAAACTCATTCGCTACGAATTCACAACGGAGCCAATGTATTTCTTTGATAAGAAACAACAATAACAAACTTTGACGGGGAAAAGTTTACCCTTCAATACGCACAAAAACTTATAATTTGTTAAATCGTACTTGTGCATTTGCCTGTATACCGTGAAAGGCACAAATGTTTTAAAGCAGTCCTCAACGAACCAATGGTTCAGTTTTTTTTTTTTTAAATGAAACTATACAGAAATTTACGCAAGAAAACGCTCATAAGAGGAAACGCACAATAAAATTACTAAAACCTTTTTTAAAATAGTTAAAAGCAAAAAGCGACAGCAGGTGAATTTTAAAATGTCGAATACATTCATTATATTGTTCAAAACTCACGTTTTCATAATTATAATAATATACATAACTAAGTTAATTTTTTTTTTCGTTTTATCGTTTCATTGCTATTAAAACTATCTATCATTTTTGTATGGAACATTTTATCCGCGACTTATAACAATAGCAATGCTGTAACAATTATTGAATTTTTTACAACCAAGAAAAACCTTAAAGTGTATGATAATGGAGTAAAAGAATAGTAATAATGGAGTAAATAGTAAAAGAATTATACGCAGACAACGTGAATAAACATATTTTAAGTTTCTGAAAACTGTTTCTTTGACGATTTTTATAGATGTACTAGTTATTCATTTTATTGCATTTATCGTTATCTATTAAATCATTTCATCGCATCTATTTCTAATACCTGAAAAAACAATTTTAAAAAAGAAGTATTTCTAGTCAAAGCAGAATTTGGATTAGGACGGTGCATGAGAACAGAGAAGTAATTTATTTATTTCGAAAACAGTTCTACTCTTTTAGTTGATCTTTTAAACCTCCCTTAATGGTTCCTATACTTTGCAACAGTAATCATAATAATTGTAACAGTAATCATAATAAGTGCTTCAAACTAATTCATTGTAAAGAGTTGTCTTCTTATTTTTCATGTTGGTTTACTTTCAATAAACCTAGAAGATTTAGAAAGTACTAAAGATATGTTCCTGGATATCCAGAATCACGTCAATGTCAATAAGACATTATTCCTATTTGCATGATATTTATCTCAATTTTTGTGTGGGTCTTATAATGTCAATGCGCTATTCACATTACCCATAAAAAAAGTCCACAATACTTATCTATGTAAAGGATCCTCCATTCTTTATAATATAATTCTCTATATATATAATTTGTTAGGATACATTTATCTTTTCTGTTTTTAATGATAATAATTTAATTGTTGAAATTAGGAAAGTAAGCAACAAATTTATAAAAGGAAATCATTAAACTTGACATAAAAAGTATAGGTTCCAGGTGTGACCCCTGAAGTATGCCAGGTATTTAATGAAGCTTCAATCAGAATTTACTGTTCTCCATCAACTTCAGTTTACATCCAGATAGTAAACTTCCATTACTAATACTCATGAATTTCCTCAATAGAAATCATACTTACATTTTCCCTTTCGGCGAAGAAAGTTTCACCAACGCACCGCAGGGGTCGGGACTCGTCTTTGAGAACTCGCTAATTGCCCCATTGCAAGCTCTCGACTCGATTCAGAAGCTCGAGTACAGTCATCGGAGTTAATTGAGCTCCGTCTTCTCGCGAGTGCCGGATTGGCCCGGCCAATCGTCACCTCTCGCGCGAAATGCGGGCGGGGCCTGACGCCGTGGCGCGTCAACGTTATCGATTCGCCGCGGCCGCGGTCGTGTTGCTTTTTTTCTTCTCGATCTCCCCATCTAGGTACCCGCGCGCTCGAATGTCAATCGGATTTTTATAATCTACATTTTTTTTCCGCCCGACGCTCCGTGCGCTGTACATAAGCGCGCTTCATAGACTCGAAGGAATTTGTTAGTTCGCGCTTTATATACTTCGTAAATGCAATAGACGTACTCAAAAGTACACATTGACAAAACCGACTCCAAAAAAGGAGGAGGACAACTCGGTTCTATTCTTTAGTATATTTATTACCTCAAATTTAAGAATTGATATTAATCCGTTTTTTAAGTAATAAAAATATACTTTTTAGGACCACGAAAATGTGAACAATGTCGCAGTGTTCCGTTTTAATCGCTAGACTTATAGTGAAAACATCATCAGATATCGATGCTGACCTAAAAGAAATAATCTATATAAATAAAAATGAATTGCTTTTCGTTAGTCTCGCTAAAACTCGATTTGGCTAATTTTAGTTTTGAAATATTTGTGGCAGTCCAGGGAAAGTTTAAACAATGATAAATTATGGAAAGATATAGAAAAGATAAAGATATCGAAATAACAACAAAGATAAAGATATCGCAAAAGCAACAATTTTATATTCCCATACAAACTTTTCTTGAGGAAACCTGCATATTTTCTAAATAATAACAAAAAAAATATTTCGAAGATATGTGAAGTCCGCCAATCCGCAGTGAGACCGTGTGGTGGATTATGCCCTGATACCCTCTGTATAGAGGAGGCCTTTGCCCAGCAGTGGGAGATGTATAGGCTGTTACTTTCCTTTTTTCCTTTTTTACAAACTTTTCCTATCTGTGAAACATTTTAACGCACCCAGCGTTGCGTAAATTCTCTTTCTATGTGTTCAGATTGACAAATTCCCTAGAAATAATTTATATAGTCAGCTAGTAATAATATAATAATAAATGCACACTTTTATGAAATATCAATACGATACATTCATACGATAGTTTGTATACACGACAATTTTGTAGTTACGTTTTGATAAATTGAACTTTTAATAAAAGCGCCGATAGCGTTTGTCGTCACAAATATGAACAGTAGATTTGTGGCCGTAATGAGGGCTGTTCAAATAATGCACAAAGGCCGTGCCAGCCGCGGACAAGCGTTTCGCGCAATCACGGCGCCGTCACGAAACAATGATATTTATTATACTCGCGTGGAAAAAAATCGAAATGGAATCAACTTGTACTGTGCGCGAGGAATTTGTTAGGTAGGCACCATCGAAGTTACTATTAGGGAAAATGAAATGTTCATAACCAAATGTATACATATCTGTATAGATAATTCTTCTATACGCGTGTATGTCACTGAACTCCTCCTAAACGGCTGGACCGATTTTAATATTAATTTTAATATTTTTTTTGTTTATAAGTTGTCGTCGGATTTAAGTCGTGTGCTATTTATTATGTACATAAATGTTACACTAAAGTATTGAATTCGATTCTTGGTTGCTTATTATCAATATCTTTCGCATTACTAAATGAAACTATTTCAACTATATCGCGTTTATTTTTAATTTGAATTCCTGAAGTTTACAGCGAAACTTAAAAGCGTCATGAACGTTGAGTCACGAGAACAGAAAGGTCAGACGTACAGTCTGAATGTCACTGTCAGCCCGGGCTGCCGCCAGTTTTTAAGTTATTAATTTTGTGTCCGATCTACGCAGAAGGTGCTAATCGAATCGTGTCTTACAGTACTGGTTCGTTTGGGCCTAGATTTAATTTTATTGATGATAGGACTCCCAAGTCGATGGCAGCACTCAACCCTCTTCTCTATTGAAATTAATATAATTTCATTTAGTAATGTGCATTCGCGTAAATATGAAGCATTTTTACACTTTTCCTTCTCGGATTTTAACTATCACGTATTTTCTATTCATCCACATTTAGATTGTTTATCAATGTAGGCGACAAATTGCGATTTGCGAAGGCCTCTTATTTATATGAACGACATATTAGTGTTAGTATTTCTATTTCGGTCCCTTTTTCTTTAATTATAAGTAAGCTCCAAAATGTTGTATATAACAAGTTCTCTATTCATTATCATCATTCTCCTGTCCTTGTCCCACCTAGATGGGGCGGGACAGTATATGAATCATATTGCAAGTGGTTTTGGCTAGGTTTTGTACGACCGACCGCCTGCGTGACGTCATTCTTCCTTGGAAACAAACACCCAGATCAGAAACAATTATATGCGGGTCACACAAATACTATATGGGAATCGAACCCACAACCCCCGGCGCAGATAGCTTACCAACTTGACTACCGAGTCATAACAAGATTTTATTCGTTATTTTTTAATTCTGCCATAACTTTTGATCACAATGTCCTTGTAATCAGTACCTAGTAAAGTAAAAACCTATAAATGGCCCACTGCTGGGAAAAGTCCTCCTCTGTAAAGAGAATATCAGGGCATAGTCCACCACGTGGATTGGCGGACTTCACATATTTGGTAAAGATTTTTTTGTTATTATTTCGAAAATATGAAGGTTCCCAACGATATTTCCCTTCAACGCCGAGCACGTGATAAGTCAGCACTTAAAATTAACAATTTCATTGGTGCTAGCACCGAGGATCGAACTCAGGTTTCTCGAGTAAATAGAATTAAAGGCGAGCGCTCGGACACTGAGTTATCACGGCTCTCTTCCATGCACTGGTTTAATTGTTGAATTGTTGATAGAGTTTGAATATCGAAAAGCAATAAATAGTTACTACGGCAAAAACTCCTCAACCACGGTCTAGATGCAAATAGAAAGTTTGACGTACGAAGTGAACACTAATGAGTCATACTTCTGTAATGTTTGTCATGGCTTAGAGCTTAATCATCCCAACTCTGAAAGAGCTCTGTTGTACTCTTCAAAGTCACGCAACATTGACGAAGGCTGTACGCAAAGTGCGCGATATTTAACCAGCACTGGGTGCGTGCCCATTAGGTAACGCCGACGTGGGCGATTACGATATTCAGCCGCGTGCGGAGTGAGCGCACAATCGTTGAGCACTCAGTAGCGGGGGGGCACTTTAAAAGTGAAATCGCGACATTTCCCTATACATTTAGGCACCTAAACCGTTCGCAAACAACATTGAGAGCGGTGCGCGAGTAAATGAAGGGGGGGGGGGGGGGTGTACGGTGGGGTCCTAAACAAAAGGTGCGAGCCCACCCCGTCCCACCCCATCGCCACATCGACCCGGCCAGAAGGGTGAGCGACACGGTGACCATAAGTTGAAATCCTCCCTAAAATAAAAATAAAGTAATGCTTATACTGAGGCTAATAGGTAACTGATGAAATAAACACTTATTATAGGTTAGAACACCCAGGCAATAGAAAAATAATATGTTCATACACAATATTTTTCCATTAGTGGAGTTCGAACCCACACCATCTGGTGCAAGAGACAGGTTCATTGACCACTGCCAATCGTTTTGTCGTCTATTGAATCTAATTTGACAAGTTCACCGTCAATTACGCAATATTATCTTATCTAATATCTTTCACTAAGTTTAACTTAATAAACTGTCAAAGCAATCTATCGGCGGCTTCATTTGTAATAATATTAATGTTTCCGTTTGTTTAATTACGAGTAAAAGATGGTACAAAAGCGTTGATTTTAAAATACGACGACGTATTTTCGTTTTCTCATAATGTAATAATTTCCCTACTACATTGCCTATAATCCTGTTGGTAAATTTTGATACCTACATGTTTAAACATAAATATACGTTTAACACTTCATGCTCTTAAAATTATTATATGTGTACAAAGCGTATTTTTATCTTCTTCTAATATTTAAATTTCTGGATGAAATGTAAATATAAAGTTACCGTTTTTTTTCCACAAATTTCGTTCGTAAAAAACTCGGTTGACTGATGTGACTCGTGCGAAATTTTCACACAGTACCGTGATTAGTCACCGAATAATAATATAATAATGTATAAATAAAGATTTATCAATGAAAGATTTATTATTTAGATTTTATATTTTTTATATTTTAGATTTATTATTTTGAAGAATAACGTTTTTCAGTCTACTTCTGATGCTATCTCTCATTTGAACAAATTTTCAGTAGATGGCATTATACATTATTTTTAAGAAATTTTTAAACGAGTCTTTTTATGACAACATAAACTTTACTTGTCTATTTTTCATCGATAGCGCCAAACATTTCAAACCTTTGAAACATTAAATTGGATGTATAATTATGAAAGTTATGGCGTGGCGACAAAACAAAACACGTGATGAGAACAATAAATGAACTATAACAATAAATATCATTTCAACATTTGAAAAATTAATAAATATATTTTTAACTGTCCGCAATATGTCGTAAGCATGGCCACCGCACGCGCGGGGGGTGGTTGTGCTTTTTCGCAGCGCGTGTCACTTACGCGGCGGGGCGCGGGCGCGGCGGCCGACACTGCGGGCGTCGGGATCCGGCGTCCGGGCGCCGCGTTGCCACGGCAACGACACCGCGACACTACCACGACCACCCCCACCCCGCCCTCCTCGCCCCCGCCGAGCGCAGCCCGAAACCACCCCTATAAACAACTACACACGGCCCACGATTGCTCACTTATATACCGGGCCGACACATAAGCGACCCCCTTCTACATAAGACGGCACGGTCAGGCGATGTAAATAGCGCGAGATAACTTCGAGAGGGTCTAATGGAATAGGGAATCGTGTTTTGGAAAGTGCCCCGGAGAGAATGTTCTCGGGTTGTTAGCGCACGACAAGGGGCAGACCCCCGCAACGTTAAGTGAAAGTCGATATGGGGATTACGTGGGCGAAATTCGATTATTCAAACGCTAGTTCGTAATGGCGTAAGGTGACCGCATTCGGGATCGTTCTTTTCCGCCACCCCGGTTAAGACAGGTCCCCAAAATGCGCCGAGAATAGACAAAAATTATACAATATGCGTTTATTTTTTGCAAAGTATTGTACACGGTGCCAGCACAAGTAAAAATGTTACACGAAATTTTAAATGCTGACTCATCGCGTGCTCAGCTTGCATATGTTCGAAATAATAATAAAAAAAATATTTCGTAGATATATGTCAAGGCCAATCTGGGACATATAGGTATAGGCTTTTTTATATTAGAAGGTGGCTAGCGAGCTGACTATTCACCTGATGTTAAGTGATAACCGCCGTCCATGGACATTTACAACACCCGTAGGGTTGCAGATGCGTAGCCAACTTTTAATAAAGTGGGGCCCGGTTACCTCACTCACCAGACGAAACGCAGGGGTTTAATACTTCCCCTTCAAGTCGATCCTCTTTGAGTTCGTGGTACTTCCCCGGACGGATCTGCCCATTCATTGAAGACTGTTGCATGACCCTACCTCAGTAAGTCTAAAAAGGTGGCAACGAGTTACAAATGTCAATGGGCGGCGGCTATCACTTAACATCAGGTGAATAGCCAGCTTGTTTGCACCCTAGTAAATAGATTTTAGGTCAACCACGGAAAGGCTAAAATTTTTGCTAACGATGAAACTTTAAATAGTTCCAGTCCGGAATCAACGCATCATGCGATGAACTCGGAGAAGATGCCAGTCAGAATGAAGCTTGAACGCATTCATTGTGACTGGCATCTTAAACTTACAAAAGTCTGTCAGCACATTTCTCTTGCTGAATATCCTCTTACAAATCTTCAGCATAAACATAAGATCGTGATTTGTACTGGATCGATCTATATATTTATATTCCTTAGTGGTCGTCAATTAATTGAAATCATTGTAAACAGTACTAGCTAGTTAGCTAGTTATACCTTTTGTTTTAAAACCTATACTTCAATTGAAATCCGTCGCTTTTAGACAAAGTTTCAGACAGGCAAAAGTTATAAAAGGAAAAACAAACAGAGCACAAGTTTGGTGTCACAATTTTTTGGAAAAGTTTCAAAAAGCCAGCAAAATCAATAAAGGCTTTACAAATTAAGGACTATTTTATTATACGAGTACACGTGTAGATAGAACTGTTCAAACGGAACATTTGTATATTGAAAGATATAAAACATAATATCAGCGTTAAACTTATTTTAATAATTTATTTTCTATTACTTATCGAGTAATTTAACTATTATATATTGAGTAACGGCTTCTGCAAGATCGCCTTTTTAATCAGGTTGAGAGTGGCCGAACACCTCTTCATTTGGTTTGTATTGATATCGCTAAGTTAGATTTTATAGTCGAACAATAAAAGGTCGTAATATACATATTAATGACTTTGTCATAAGCTTTCGCTACCTTGACCCCGTCCGGTTTGACTTCGTCGAATTCGACGCCCGGGGCGAAAGTCACGGAGGAACTGACCAGTTTCGAGTTGAAACTGAAGGTGTAGGTGCCGTTCTCGTTGAGTGTCAAGCTGTGGCTGGGGCGAAGTGTCAGCGCAGCCTTCCTGGCTATGTATCCGACACCTGCAATTGTATTTCAGTTGCTTTTATCTTCCCACGCAGTGCGTTGCCCTTTTCTAAATTGAATAAACAATTTTACACGGTACAAAGTACTGTGCGCATAGTACATTCCTAAACGACTTGTAATATTTTGTATGTTAAACAGAATATTAATAATTATCAAAAGAATAGTGACAGACAAACTAAATACTAGAAATAAGGACAAACTAACTACGCCATTATTTCGCCTACAAAAAGTAAACAGATCGTTCATGGGGCAAAGTGTGCGCATGTATAAATCAAATCCCACAGTCAATGTTTGTATTGATAAGTCTGCCACTTGATGAATTTAAACGAAAAATTAAAAGTACACTTATGGCTAAAGCCTATTATACTATTGCCGAATATCTTGACGACGCCAATGTGTGGGGTTTGAATACTGTTGATACTCACGTAGGCGAAAACAAGACTATTGTACCTGTACTATTATATTTCGTAAAACTGATTTTTAAAAAAGAGCAACTGTGAGTTTCTTGTCGGCTTCTTCTCAACAGAAACTGCTTTCCGAACCGGTGGTAACTTACGAACGTGTTAATTTCTTGTAAAATTTTGAAGTTTCATAAGAACGCGCAAGCGTCTATGTGAATAAAGATATTTTATTATTATATTATTATTACTGAACTGTCTTCAGGTTGATTCGAGAATGGTTTAGATCCACAATTCGGTTCACTACATCTTTTTTTATTATTTATGTTTTTAAGTTTAATCAAATCCATTTAGTATGATGCGTGGGAAGAGTAAAGAAATACATACTCAAACCATTACGCGTGTATACATATTGGTCGAGCGATGTTTCAAGTTTTTGAATGTTTTGGATGACTCACAACAAACCGCCGGTAGGTGGTAGGTAGTCTAGGTGGTTTTCCCATAACTTTTACATGTATATACCTACCTAGTTGTACAAGCCTTGCCTGATACTTTACAATCTAAGTTTTGTGATATGTTTGTGCCTAGTCAGACTGCAGCTACCGATCGACCCTATGTCCAGCCCTCTCGGACACCCTCTAAACTGGTATCGAGTAACAGCTCAAGCCGAGCTCGGGGGCCCTTGAGCCTAGTTACTCCATGCAGCAACTGCCAAAGCGACTTAAGAGCTTGGCAGCCTTCCAAACTGGTGAAAATACTAGACCGGCCCGAAAAACCGGCTTAAGGCTCCCTCGGGCGCCCGCGAGCTTGAACGAGGTACATGCTACGCGTACTCAGCGCCCGGTCACCACAAGCCCAATGGCTCTGTAAAGACCTCAAGGCCGACAGTGGAAGACCCAACCAGAAAAAGATTATATGTTGCGTGTTAACAGTCAACATTGTATGGTACCTACAATATGTTATCAGAAATATAATTTTCGAAAGTTAAAATAGTATGTTTGTTGAACAGAAACCAGTGTTCGGTATTTCTCTACGTGATAGAGTTCGTAATGCGGATATCCGCTGTAGAAATTAATCGACATAGCTCGGTAGATTAGTGAGTTGAAGCGGCAAAACGCAGGTCATGTAGTTCGTAGAACCTAAAACCGATGGGGAAGAAAGGTTCCATAGTGACAGCCTCGTAGTAGCATCGTAGTGTAAGATGACCCATCACTAGATGGACCTGCGGCAATGAGCGGAAAGAAAATGGATGCACGTGTTTCGTGGCAGCCTGTGGAGGCCTATGTTCAGCAGTGGACTTAAGGAGGCTGAAATTACGATGTTAAAAATATATATAGGGTCGAATTGAGAAACCTCCTCCTATTTGAAGTCGGGTAAAACAATCAAATATTATTACTATAGCTTTTTATTCTTAATATCCGCATGTGCTTGTGCCAAATTTTCGCATTAAAGAAATCATATAATTTTTACTTCAAATTAAATGCGTGGGAATTACTTTTAACACGTCGGTTGTGTATTATACCTTTTTTAACTCTTACTCATACGCTGAATGAAAAAAGCTCTGAAAAAATACAAATTTAACGTTTGCTTCCATTTAAAACAAAACATATTATCATTGGGCTTGAATGTTTTATATTACACAATATCGGCAACACGCATTTACCCCAAAAACAACCTAAAATCTCGAATGGTTAGTTTTAGTTAGTTTTTATATAGAACCCTTCGATTGTTTGTACGAAATCTCGGGATTGGGAATAAATTCAAAATTACATTCTATAGGCTCTAGTTTTATAAGTAGTTTATTATCTGACATTAACTCGATAAGTTACTAAAGGTACATGTGATTATCAAAGGCCGTGATTAATTTGCCAGAAGGTACTAAAATTTAACCAAATAATTAAATAATATGTCGAATTGTCGCTGCTATAAAAGTTTACGGATACCAAAGAATATTTTTTTTTATTTATTTGCGTAGATATGCGAAAATATATACACGCACGCATGTAAAGTTATATGTTACATGAATGAAAACGTTTCAATATTTCTAGTTACCTTTTTGAATTATTCAGTACCATTCATTGCAAACTCGAAAAAGTTTTTATAAGATATGAATGAATATATAAGGCAGCATATTTTTTATTTTTTGCATTGTTACTAAAAACTAAAATTTCCAGCATTTTTTGTTACATTTGTATAGAGTACATCTGTTACCATTTAACAAAACAAAACTTAAACAAAACATTGAACAAAAAATCAGAAAGAATATTTTAATAAAAAAATCAAGTGAAAAAAATCCTTCCAAATATAAAACACCTACAAATATATTCTCACGTAGAGATTGCAGTTCCAAAGTCACTTTAAAAGTTGTTGCTATGCTTACTAATTCTAAAAAAGTCTCTTAAATAGAAATAAAGGGTCTAATAATGTCGGGTTATTTCAAAGTAAACTTGTATACTGTTTCAAAACTTCCAATTTGAGGGAAACATCGATTAATATCACAAATTATCATACCAATGAATATTAAATATTCCTCAAAGTTCTCCGAATCGACGAAGACGTACTTCACTCCTAAAAACTCCTCCATTATGTTCTCCACCAATATCGGCACACGGACTTGCAACGAGCGACTCCCTTTCACGTGATTATGTTGCGGGGAGCGCGTTGTAATGACAATGTTTTGGTCGTTATCGCCCCGACGATGGCGCGATATCGCTATCAGTGATAACGAATACAGCGCAGCGCTAATTTTCCTTCCTTTTTGTTTGTCTTAACGCACATAATCTACTGAATGGGTCCTAGGTCACAGGGCCCTAGTTCGATGTCCTTAATCGACGGTACAACTGTTCTAATTTATGGTTTTTCTTATGTCAGAAGAGGCTATGATGCATTTGCATTGCCAATCTTTCAGATAGTGGTTCGTGGTTACCCAACTTGCAAGAAGAAACGCAAAATTATGTTAATATATACTTATATAGTTCCACTTTATTCTTGTCTTCTATCAGGCGGTGGTACTACTGCGTGCCTACCTATATGAAAAATATCTTATTAAAGAAAACAAAATTCGATGGCATGGAAGAAGATTTATTAAACACTTGTGTATTTTATTAACTCTTTCGAAAAACATTACAGCGTTGTAATGTGTTTTTAAACATTTATATTTATTTATTTATATTCAGGTACATTTATGTAATAGTAAAGACAGTAATAGATTTCCCGAACATTAATGCACAATATCATATTAGTAGTTGTGCAACTAATATAAGATAACTAAATTATTAACAATAGGTACCTACTTTGGAAATTATAATACTAACACCGCTGGTTAAAAGGGAGTAAAACGAAAATAAAATAAAATACCAAAAATAAAATTAAAACCCTAGTCAAAATAATGAAATAATGAAAATAAAAGTCAATAGTAATGACAATGTTATGTGTTGTAAATGTATTTGTATTGCAGACACGACTTGGTAGATTTATACTATTGAATGTGGTATCATTAGATTCGTTTTGTTGTAACTGTTCTGTGGAACTCCTAAACGAAAAAGTGTAAAATAATAACACATTTGTTACAAGATTGAAGGAAACAGAAAATAAATAAATACGACTTGGGGAATTCAATAATTTTGCTTCCTCAAAGGCCAGCAAAGCATTTGTAATTCCTCCGGTTTTGCGAGTGTCCATGGGCGGCGGTGGACCTACCATCTCGTGGCCCGCCTGCTCGTATGCATAAATATTTATTCGCCTTTTCCATAAACATAATAAAAGATCGTTTAAATTTGCACTAATCTATTTTTTCTCATCTCAGAACTGTCAATATAATACAGTATATCAAAATAATCGAAATCCATTTCGTCCCTAAAGCATGCGATAGCAAAAAACTATCTGATATATTTTTGTATAGGTACCTATATTATTATTAGATACGCCTGCCATAATACATCTAATTTTATTTATGGGGAAAAAATGTGCATATTCCCTTTATTTAAAACTGGAGACTTTAGTAGAATTTCCCCCCCGTTGTGTTGCTCCCCTTAAACATTTGTGAAGATAATACATCCGTCATTTACCATCGTTTCTGTTTTCAATATCAGTGATGTTCTTCATTTAATTACAGGTCAGAAATGCATTTACGATGAACCGCCGTTGGACACCGGTGACTCAAGCAGAGGTACAAGCAAACGACAAGAACCACTAGACCGAAGCCTAGAAGGTAAAAGATACTTTCACTTCTCAGTTAATGGCTAGTACCTGGAGGACCGAGCTTTGCTCGGATTGTTTTTTGGTAAATCGTGTATTTTGAAAATTACATTTAGATACAAATTACTGAGTAATGAAATATGCCTAATATTTATCGATCTTACCGACGTAATGTTAAGAAAATATGAACTGGTGTTTTTCACAAAAGAAAGAACTTTAAAAAAAGGGGAAAGAAATAACAAAATAACAAATCGACAAAAAATCAAAAACAAAGAAAGCAATGATCTGGAATCGAAAAAAAAGTAAAAAAATAAGTGTGTAAATGATCGTGATACGAACCGCGGCCGTCTGTCTGTCTGTTTTGGGCCGCCCGATTACCGACCGAGCTATTATAAAATATTTTTTTTGCGGCGAAATTTACCGTCATATTCGAATGATATATTTCATTCCCTGAAAACAGGGATAAAAGAACATGTTCTAAAAATGAAACCTAGCTAGATCGATAAGATTTAATCAATGCATCTCACTTGGCAAACTAAAGCTAGTAACAATTTCAAAGTTAAAAAAATTGTTCGGTGTAATTAGTAGCCTACTATATCTTTTATTTATTCGTTTATTTAATATTAGGTAATTAATCAATCAAAGTTTCTACGATTTTATAATAAAGTGTAGTAAAATCGGAAAATAAGTCATCGAACCGCAATTGAATCGGGCAAACAAAAGTGATGTGCAGTACTCCTTCAATATATACAACGAAATGAAGAAAAAAAATGTCTGACCTGAATTTAGAAAGGAGTCTTGTTGCAAAAAAAATAAAAATAAAACGATAAAACGAGCCCGCAAAGAAATGTACAAGAGTGGAAATTACGCGCTTCCCCGCATTGAGCGCGAGCTTGCTAACCCAGGTGCCGTGAGGGAGACGCACTCAATACTTTCATTAGGGTGAGCGATGGGACGGGACGTCAACGTAATCCCGGTAATGGTTTCATTGTTGCGCCGACGTCGGCCGCCATTTTGAAACGGCGCTCAAGGCGTGGGGGCCGCGTCAAAGAGTCGAGCGTACGCGCGCACCGAGCTAGCGGTGTGAGACAGTCTACGAACATTCTAGATCATAGTGTATCCCAGATATGAATCTATTTAGACGGATGAGTGAAAAACTCAGCCTTAAACTCCCGTGTGAATTAACTTTAATGATATATGCACATCTCGATCCATCTCTTTGCGTAGCGCCGATACTTTAATGCTTCTCAACACAAACTCCCATCTTGTGTGTTCTGATGGATGCCGTTAGCCTTACAGTCCATAGACTATATAAAGATTCATTCGGTCGCAGAATCGCGTAGAAAAGTTGCCCGAGTTTCTACGATTCTGATAGATCCCACGTAAGTAGCCAAACACACGTGATCATGCCTGCATTCCTGAAGATGATTATCAGAATTCGGTATGCGGACCATGAGCTCGATGACCGTTGCCCGAGAGTCCCGGTACTTGTGTGTGCCGTGGGCGAGGACGAATAATAGGGTGTTGCATGAGATTAGTGTTTTCGGACTAGGCTCCCGCGTGTCCTAGATAATTTCGCCACCTTCCTCGACCGGGGCAATGAAGACTTTACGTGATTCATCCACGTTCATTCAACTTCAGTTTACGTATGTTTGCGTTTCTGCTTTGTTTTTGATTGATAATTTGCTGCGTTTGCCACCAGACTCGGCGATTAATAAGAACCGTTTAGTGAGATCCTAAAAATAACTATAAAAATAATGATGTAAAAACATATTTTTAAATATTTGAGCGTTATTGACTATACAACATCCACCATATAATTTTTTTCTATCCTTCTTTATGTAATAGCACCGTACACGGTACGTTTAATTGAGGTCTTGTTAGGCAGTGTACGGTGAAAGTCTTACCGTAGAAAGTAAAAATAAACATGTTGAGGAATTTTAATCTTTTAATTAAATGAAGATCGGAGAAATGAAAGGGATTCAATGTTTAACGAAAAGTATTGCAAATTATCTTTAGGATATAACGGAGAGAGAGCTGGACGGTTTAAGATGCAGAAAAAACCAAGTAAATTAGAGTTACGCCTTTTTTAAACGGTAACCCATTTAAGGTGAATGCGATATTCGGATATAAAATCGTATTTTTAATATTGAAAATATATCTTATAGACTTATTATAAATGCCCTCTAACTTGCATCTGCATGTTCAATTATAGGTAAAGTAAGTGTCTGCACAAGCATAAGCTTTGTTTTAAACAGAGGAAAATTCTTCAGACAGTAGAGAGCGCTTACAGCCGCAAAGACGTTACGGCTGAGATTTGGATGACCTGTGCTCCCCAGCTCATAATGTTGTCCATGATCAGACTTAAAAAACTTAACAGACTTGAAAAAGGATTCTTATTTTGTTTTCATTATTTATCAACCATTCAAGTTTAAATTAAAGTTTAAAGTAGCAATGGCATTGCGGATGCTATCAACGTTAGTTTAGATGTAGATTTGCAACTCGGCATAGAGATGATACCCGCAATCAATAAAAGATGTGATTGAGTTTGTAAAGGCTGAAAATTTTATGGGAGAAAGTAAACCGCCTTGCGGTACTCTAGACTCAATATTAGCTTGAGAGCTAATATTCGGAAGACTCTTGCCTCGTGTGGAACGAATGTGTCTTCCGCTAAGAATTGTGCCGGTTGTAACACGTATGAATTTATTTTGAACATGCACGCGTAAGACATATCTTCATAAGATTGTATAATCTCCTCGAAACGAATGCAGCTCTATTTCTTAGTTTTTGAATATGGATACGGAACGAAATATCGGCATTTAATATGAACCCTCTTTGACCTACGTTGTCGTTGCTGTGAATCATCTAGCAAACTCTCGTCCGCTTCGCAAAAATTTGGGTCTGGAAAGATTGAGCTATGATTTGAATTGATGTTGAAGAAATTGTACCTACAGGATTATCTTAAACGAACCGAGTAGTTTCGAGAATAAGTGACTGAGTACTGATTTGGTATAATGTTCCGAAAGTGGCCATATTGTTACCGGAAGAGAAACGTAGCAATCAAACACGTACACTTATATTTTAAACATTTTTTACCAGTAAATGGTTTGAAATATTCGTAGACATTACACAAATTGTATCATATCGCACAATTGGTTTCATGTTTCTAACAATTGGAGGATGTAATTTTACAATGTTGATCTGAACTCTAAATTGCCCTTTAACACTTAGGAATTAATAATACAGTTTATTGGAATTGATCGATAATTTTTTATCAAACACACGAATATTCATCATAAAATGAATATGATATTGGAGGCTTGTTTTAACGTTACGGCCCTTTATTTTCCAGAAAGTAGCAACGAAGGACTGGTCAAGATTCATAAGAAACGTCGTTTCGACACCAGTGAATGTGGCGGCTCGAAGACCGTCGATAGTCCAGAGCTATCCCTCACACCGGAAAAGAAAACCGAGGCACAGCAACCCGAGACTCCACAAAATGTTCGGTAAGTCAACATAATTATTGATTTAGAACTTCTAGACTTTCATTGCTTGAATAACTCGGCGATGCTGTTGATGTGATGATGATTAAATTGAAAGGTCTGAATCCTAATAAGCTTCTTTCCATTTTTGTATTGGGTCAACGAAAAAAATTAAAATATGTTTATAGAATAGATATTAAATGATAGAAATACATTTATGAACAGGCAGCCATGTTTCTACTAAGTAAAAAACCCAAAGCTAAGTTTTTGCAAAACTACTTTTTGATTTTCCTTAAGCAAATTAAAGTCGTATGAAACTGGTTTATTCGACTTTGATTAATTTAGTATCTGCTTCCATAACATATTGTTAAATAAATAAATGTATGTTCTTATATGGAACAAAAATGTTCCAAAACTCAACAAGATATCGTTAATTTTGTGTGAAGAGGCAACGAAAGTTCTTAATAAAAAGATTCATTTGAAGACCAAGGAATAATCTTTCTGTGATAATCATTAGTTACATTTTATTTTGCTGCGAAATGCACCTAAAACTGCCTTTTTTGTCAGATTTCGCCAGTTTTGCAAACACGTCCATAGCAATGTAACAACTAAGGAGCATACTATGCATCTAAAGAGTATTGCTATTACATTAATTTAAGGAATACAAAATAGAAATGTTTTATGAAATTTAACGTTGCCAGGTTTTTTTGTTTGGAAAAAGTTGACAAAAATAGTACAAGTATAAATCAATCGGGTAGAACGGTAGGAAATTTGTATGCGAATTATTGAATAAAAAAGGTTTTTCGTAAAACACTCAGAGTTACTTGTATTATATAAAAATCAATTTAAAAAAAAAATCTTGAATGTTATTTTTTTAACATTTAATGAAACGAGACCCGTTCGTAAAAGTTGTAATTTAAATATCAATTTTATTACAATGAGCATAACAGTTATCGTTTTTGTAATCAAAGCAACGACGCACAGGTACCGTTATTTTCGGTTTAAACTTATATATATTGTTCAAGTGTGCATGTTTGTTGCTTGTATGTATATCTTAATTGCGGTTTAAAAATGTTTGTTTAGTTTTGATTAAGTAATGTTTGTTTAAACAGCCAATTTATGTCGCATGCATTACTACATATTAACACGCATGTTGTCCTAATAAAATGAACTAGTGGACGCCGAGTGTTCGAAATTCGACCATAAAAACATTAAGTTGCTATTCCAGTCACAAATAATACTTTATCAATTTTGCACGTACATTACAGGCCAGGTTACTTTACTTTACTTTTTTATTAATAGCCATGAATTTTACTCCATTGTTGGTTCAAAAAGGTCCTTGAAACTAACAAGAAACCCTGTATGTTAAACATACAATTACGTATATAACATATAACTCGTGACTTCAGCCTAACTTAAATCACACATAGGTACTAACCGCAAACTAGAATAGAATATTGACTTCTGATTTAAGTATATATAGAACCTAATTTTGTGTTTATCTTGTAGATTTGGTACTTTGAAATGCATGTTAGCGTAATTTAGTAGCAAAAGTAGTTTATATGATTATTTTCAGCCACGGGGGCGTTCGAGTATTATATTAGTAGTATAAACATAGGTCACCTGTTCGGCTCTTTTAATTATGTGATATTCTTTACGGCCTGTTCTTGTTTCTTTTTATTAATTGAAACTAATGTCACTCCATCTAGTGTCCTATTCTACGATCGCCGGTACGAGGCCACTCGTGAACCATTCTTTCCCATCTGTTTTCGGTTCTACGAGCTATATTGCAAGCCCATTGCCAATTCAACTTACTTCTGAGCTATATCGGTTAGCGTTGTTCTACTGCGGAATCTTTATTACGAACTCTATCATGGAGTGCGACCTGCGCAAATGTGGGGAAGTCGATGGATGCAGGTGTTCAGGATCGTATGTCCTGACAGTCTGTCTGGGAGACCTATGTTCTGCAATGGACTAAAATAGGGTGAAATGATGATAATGATGATTGGGGTAGCAGCGAAGAAATAATTTTAACTTGATCGCTCAATACGCTTCAATTACATTCAAACTTGAACGCTCCCCGAAAAGCATGCTGTGTATTATTAATATATATGCCTGCCTTATTACTATTGGTGACGGATAACATTGTGATTTCCAGACGCCTGTACGACCTCGTGGACAACCTCCGCCTCAGGGCATCGATGATTGTTGATTGCAGTGTCCCCACGATCTACTACGGCGCCAGGACCCACAAACAGCTGCAGCAGGTCGTGCGCGAATTCGCCAGGACGGACTATTGCGGGGATATCCTAATGACGGTGCTGTCGAGCCGCGACTACAGCTGCATACGCGAGTTCGACCGCCAGATGTGGAGCAACAGGAACGACATGTGCCGGGCCTGTGTTAAGGTCAGCTTAGATTGTGATTCGGCCTTCCGGTAGTAATACTTGATACGCTGCTTGGTATGACTAAGCCTTAAGTCTGAGATCACCTGGTTCTTTGAAGCCGTCTTATCGGGGGCATCACTTGGTTCTATGCTTGGGTTAACTGGTTTCGTATCAATGAAATGGTTTGGTTTCTACTGACGTCGTAGCATAATAGACGGAATGTCATTTGATTCGCCACGTCGACGAGCGCGATTAAATGTTGCAACAAGGTTCATGCCTTTCGCCCACATAATTTAATGTGATCGAGCTATGCAACAACTTCGGGTATAGCACGAATGGGCAGGCCGCTTCGGGGAAGTATCACTCACAGAAGACTGACTGAGAGTTGCTAAAAATTAACAAGCAAGGTTCATACGGCCAATGGGCTCTTAGACTCTTGTCTAAGGGTAGCGCGTAACCAATGTCTTGTCACATAAAATTTCCGCTATAAATAATGCAATTTATATCACATCAATATTAATCTTATTGTATATGTTTCCTTCCCTCAAAGCCATTCAATTCGGCCAGAGAGAGGCGCGAGGACACCAACTGCAAGTACTACGACAATCGGATGGCCCTCAACCACAAAAGTCTACCGCCGGCCTTCGACCTGGATGAGCTGGTGGCGGCCGGTGAGGAGATGAAGGCGTGTCCCTACTTCGCGGCAAGGTCCATGGTCGCCAGCGCTCACATTGTCTTCTGCCCCTACAACTACCTCATAGAACCCGCTATTAGGAGCAGCGTAAGTTAATATATTTAATAATGAATTTAACAGAAAACCGCAGAGGAAAGATAGTAGGCCACCTAATAAGACATGATAGATTCATTAACAACGTCCTGGAAGGAAAGAAAGAGGAAAGCGGGGAGGATACACTGGGTAAGCTATATATCACAAATAAGAAAGCAGATAAATGTTAAGTCCTATAGGACAGCCTTTACCTCCCTGTAAGCCATGGCTTTGAACAGAGAAAGTTGCACAACTGAACTACAGGGATGCTGCACCAACAAGAGCCTTGATCTTAAATTAAAGAGAGAGAAGTTATATAATTTTCTGTTATCTATCGTCCTCTTGTCTATGTCAGTTCAACACATGCAAGTATTAAGGCTAAGCAATTTTAATCTGAAATGCTGAATTTTTTCAAAAGAAATATATGAAACAAGTCGGCCATAACACAAGCAAGGACTAGATAACGTTACGTTAAAATATGTCCCAAAATATTCACGTGTAGTATTCGTAAATAGAAGAAATCATAAATAATCTGTGCGTTCCAGATGCAAATCGACTTGGCGGGCAACGTGGTCATCATCGACGAAGCCCACAATATTGAGGACATCTGTCGCGACGCGGCTACCTTCACTTTCACCAGGGACAACGTGCGGGCAGCCCTCAAGGTGCGATAGGGCCATAGTAAAGTAACCTCTGTACAGAGGGTATTAGGGTATAGTCCACCACGCGACCCCACCGTGGATTGGCGGCCTTTGGTTACTCGAGTATATTCAAATTCAAAATAAAAGTAAAGTAACAGCCTATAAATGTACCACTGCTGGGCAAAGGCCTCCTCTGTACTGAGGGTATCAGGGCATAGTCCACCACGCGACCCCACCGCGGATTGGCGGACTTTGGTTACTCGAGTATATTCAAATTCAAAATAAAAGTAAAGTAACAGCCTATAAATGTCCCACTGCTGGGCAAAGGCCTCCTCTGTACTGAGGGTATCAGGGCATAGTCCACCACGCGACCCCCACCGCGGATTGGCGGACTTTGGTTACTCGAGTATATTCAAATTCAAAATAAAAGTAAAGTAACAGCCTATAAATGTACCACTGCTGGGCAAAGGCCTCCTCTGTACTGAGGGTATCAGGGCATAGTCCACCACGCGACCCCCACCGCGGATTGGCGGACTTTGGTTACTCGAGTATATTCAAATTCAAAGTAAAAGTAAAGTAACAGCCTATAAATGTCCCACTGCTGGGCAAAGGCCTCCTCTGTACTGAGGGTATCAGGGCATAGTCCACCACGCGACCCCACCGCGGATTGGCGGACTTTGGTTACTCGAGTATATTCAAATTCAAAATAAAAGTAAAGTAACAGCCTATAAATGTCCCACTGCTGGGCAAAGGCCTCCTCTGTACTGAGGGTATCAGGGCATAGTCCACCACGCGACCCCACCGCGGATTGGCGGACTTTGGTTACTCGAGTATATTCAAATTCAAAATAAAAGTAAAGTAACAGCCTATAAATGTCCCACTGCTGGGCAAAGGCCTCCTCTGTACTGAGGGTATCAGGGCATAGTCCACCACGCGACCCCACCGCGGATTGGCGGACTTTGGTTACTCGAGTATATTCAAATTCAAAATAAAAGTAAAGTAACAGCCTATAAATGTCCCACTGCTGGGCAAAGGCCTCCTCTGTACTGAGGGTATCAGGGCATAGTCCACCACGCGACCCCACCGCGGATTGGCGGACTTTGGTTACTCGAGTATATTCAAATTCAAAATAAAAGTAAAGTAACAGCCTATAAATGTCCCACTGCTGGGCAAAGGCCTCCTCTGTACTGAGGGTATCAGGGCATAGTCCACCACGCGACCCCCACCGCGGATTGGCGGACTTTGGTTACTCGAGTATATTCAAATTCAAAATAAAAGTAAAGTAAAGCCTATAAATGTCCCACTGCTGGGCAAAGGCCTCCTCTGTACTGAGGGTATCAGGGCATAGTCCACCACGCGACCCCACCGCGGATTGGCGGACTTTGGTTACTCGAGTATATTCAAATTCAAAATAAAAGTAAAGTAACAGCCTATAAATGTCCCACTGCTGGGCAAAGGCCTCCTCTGTACTGAGGGTATCAGGGCATAGTCCACCACGCGACCCCACCGCGGATTGGCGGACTTTGGTTACTCGAGTATATTCAAATTCAAATTCAAAAAAAGTAAAGTAACAGCCTATAAATGTCCCACTGCTGGGCAAAGGCCTCCTCTGTACTGAGGGTATCAGGGCATAGTCCACCACGCGACCCCACCGCGGATTGGCGGACTTTGGTTACTCGAGTATATTCAAATTCAAAATAAAAGTAAAGTAACAGCCTATAAATGTCCCACTGCTGGGCAAAAGGCCTCCTCTGTACTGAGGGTATCAGGGCATAGTCCACCACGCGACCCCACCGCGGATTGGCGGACTTTGGTTACTCGAGTATATTCAAATTCAAAATAAAAGTAAAGTAACAGCCTATAAATGTCCCACTGCTGGGCAAAGGCCTCCTCTGTACTGAGGGTATCAGGGCATAGTCCACCACGCGACCCCACCGCGGATTGGCGGACTTTGGTTACTCGAGTATATTCAAATTCAAAATAAAAGTAAAGTAACAGCCTATAAATGTCCCACTGCTGGGCAAAGGCCTCCTCTGTACTGAGGGTATCAGGGCATAGTCCACCACGCGACCCCACCGCGGATTGGCGGACTTTGGTTACTCGAGTATATTCAAATTCAAAATAAAAGTAAAGTAACAGCCTATAAATGTCCCACTGCTGGGCAAAGGCCTCCTCTGTACTGAGGGTATCAGGGCATAGTCCACCACGCGACCCCACCGCGGATTGGCGGACTTTGGTTACTCGAGTATATTCAAATTCAAAATAAAAGTAAAGTAACAGCCTATAAATGTCCCACTGCTGGGCAAAGGCCTCCTCTGTACTGAGGGTATCAGGGCATAGTCCACCACGCGACCCCACCGCGGATTGGCGGACTTTGGTTACTCGAGTATATTCAAATTCAAAATAAAAGTAAAGTAACAGCCTATAAATGTCCCACTGCTGGGCAAAGGCCTCCTCGGTACTGAGGGTATCAGGGCATAGTCCACCACGCGACCCCACCGCGGATTGGCGGACTTTGGTTACTCGAGTATATTCAAATTCAAAATAAAAGTAAAGTAACAGCCTATAAATGTCCCACTGCTGGGCAAAGGCCTCCTCTGTACTGAGGGTATCAGGGCATAGTCCACCACGCGACCCCACCGCGGATTGGCGGACTTTGGTTACTCGAGTATATTCAAATTCAAAATAAAAGTAAAGTAACAGCCTATAAATGTCCCACTGCTGGGCAAAGGCCTCCTCTGTACTGAGGGTATCAGGGCATAGTCCACCACGCGACCCCACCGCGGATTGGCGGACTTTGGTTACTCGAGTATATTCAAATTCAAATTAAAAGTAAAGTAACAGCCTATAAATGTCCCACTGCTGGGCAAAGGCCTCCTCTGTACTGAGGGTATCAGGGCATAGTCCACCACGCGACCCCACCGCGGATTGGCGGCCTTTGGTTACTCGAGTATATTCAAATTCAAATTAAAAGTAAAGTAACAGCCTATAAATGTCCCACTGCTGGGCAAAGGCCTCCTCTGTACTGAGGGTATCAGGGCATAGTCCACCACGCGACCCCACCGCGGATTGGCGGCCTTTGGTTACTCGAGTATATTCAAATTCAAATTAAAAGTAAAGTAACAGCCTATAAATGTCCCACTGCTGGGCAAAGGCCTCCTCTGTACTGAGGGTATCAGGGCATAGTCCACCACGCGACCCCACCGCGGATTGGCGGCCTTTGGTTACTCGAGTATATTCAAATTCAAATTAAAAGTAAAGTAACAGCCTATAAATGTCCCACTGCTGGGCAAAGGCCTCCTCTGTACTGAGGGTATCAGGGCATAGTCCACCACGCGGCCCCACTGCAGATTGGCTGACTTAACATATTTTCTAAATATATATTGTTACTATTTAGAGAAATATGCAGGTTTCCTCACGACGGTTTTCCTTCGCCGCCGAGCACGTGATAAGTCAGCAATTCAAAATATCTTTATTCAAATAGAGGCTTGCGCCTTCTAACGAAATGTCGAGTTCTACATAATAATTGATATATAAGTTCGTAAGTTCAGCATCTTATTGAATCAAAAGCGGCCGCCAAGACAATGCGCTATCACGGCTTGTAATCCATATTTGTAATACAAAGATTACTACTCCTCTGAATAGGACTAGTTTCTTCGCTAAAGATATGTGAGTTAGAAACCTTCAAAAGAACCTGTACAGTAGTCAAATTAGGTTGAATGTATTTGTAGGCTTGGAATAGGGTTTTGACCACTTACGTCACTTACCCTATGTAAGTGACGTAAGCGGTCAAAACTATTCATAATTTTGCCAAACGGAGTAGCATATTTGCTGAGATTTGAAGGAAAATTTTAGTCTGAAACAAGATTCTTAACTTAAATCTTCTGCTATGTTTCATATGGATATGTTGCAACTTCAAACTATGCGACAAATTAATTATACATTGTTTGTTATTGTTCATTATACGACAAAGTTTTTATTTTAGTTCTAATAAATCCACGGGGTGGAGATTATCGTGCTCAAGCTAGTTTAGTAATCATTATAAATCTGATCCAGGAGTTGGAAACCGTCGCCGGTTACCGATTCGCCAATCAGGAGTCGACGAGCAACGTAGAGGAATTACTGCGCACGCTTAAGAATTGGGACGAATGGTACGTATGGGTCCGTATGGTTATACGTTCCACATTAAAATAATATATGGCGCTGTAGTCCACCAATGGCCTATTATGATCCTCGAATCTTTCGCCTATTATATTGCAAGCTATTAATTTATTGCAATTTGGTTACGAGTTTTACCCAGCACTAATCGCACCTAGAAATAAAGGGACGTAATTAATAAATCGTGATTTTGACTTTGTTAGGAATCGACCTAAAACGATTACCTTAGGGTCGATTTTAGAAAACTGCATAAGTTGTACTTCGGCCTCTTTCACTCCCCTCAAAACACCGCATTTGTTCGTAAGTGCACAAATCTTTATTTTACGTTTCCCAAAAATATTTTTTATTAGGGTATTGTCGGGGATAGGCCGGAAATATCGTGTCCAGAGTCCATTATAATAAAAACATACACAAGTAATAAATATCACTTGGTTTATTTTCAGATGATTTCTAGCTATTGTATGCTTCTGTTTATAATCAACGAACGACTTACAAATGTAGACGTGACACCAGTTACGAACCGGAAATAATCCTGCGCTTAAACATATATTATTTAAAAAAATCATCATCAGACCTTCCATTTCTGAACGGCCGTGGTTATACAACAACAACATCGCCGTCCATTGCTGAACGTAAGCCTCCCCCAAAGTGCGCCAACTATATAGTGCGTGGTTATAGTGAATTAATATTAAATTAACTTTTTTTTTATTCAAAACTGACCAACACTAGACTGCCGACCCACCTGATGCTAAGCGGCGATGCAGCCGTTGATGGTAAGCGCGCTAGCTCAGTAAAAACCTATTCACTGTTGCCATTTACCTCCTTATTATAATTATTATAATATAAAAGAACTGTAACATCAAAGCAATGTTCTGCACAGGTTCGTGAACCAAACGCCGCTGATACAAAAGCGGGCGGTGAGCGGCAATGAAGCGGTCTTCACGTGGGACGTTCAGCACTTCGTGCAGACCCTCAACAACCACAACATTGGACAACAGCACTACAATGGTCACTATGTCCATTTTTTTCTTACGAATAACTCTATCCCTATCACTCGTAAATGTATCACTGTTTGCAGTCTCTGTCGCCCATTTAAAGATTCAACCGTCAAACCACGAGTTCAACTTCAAGTTCGTTCATGTTCGAAATATTCCGGCTTAAATAAGCCATCTTAACATTGTTCGACTAGTCTTTGCAAAACATATTTAAGGAAATAAAAAGATAGTCATCTCATTAAGAGCATATGTTTGAGGGAATTAATCAAAATGGCCGATGAAGGCCCTATGATTTGTGTGAAGAGAGTTAGGTAGTAAGTGTCAACGACCATTGCGCCTTGGAAGATCTATTGTAGTATATATGAAAGACTTAACTCTTACAACATTAATAAGGACCTAACTCTTCCAGCGTTATGAAAGACCTAACTCTTCCAGAGTAACGAAAGACCTAAATCTTCCAACATCAGGAAGGGCCTAACTCTTCCAACGTCACGAGGGACCTAACTCTTCCAGCATCATGAAAGATCTAATTCTTCCAGAGTAAAGAAGGACCTAACTCTTCCAACATCAGGAAGGACCTAACTCTTCCAGCGTCACGAGGGACCTAACTCTTCCAGCGTCATGAAGGATCTAACTCTTCCAGCGTCATGAAGGACCTAACTCTTCTAGCGGCATGAAGGACCTAACTCTTCCAGCGTCATGAAGGACATAACTCTTCCAGCGTCACGAAGGACCTAATTCTTCCAGGGTTCCGGCAAAACGCCGAGATATTCTGCAAACGATTGCGCGACGATCCGCGCACTTTGTACGGCGTCACCCAGGCGACTGGATCGCTGGTCGAATCGCTGGAGACTGTGCTGGGTGAGTCCCTCTCTCGTATAGCGACCGGTCGGAAATAGCCGTGATAGCTCCTTGGCCGGGCGCCATTAATTTAACCTCTATAAGGCGAAAAATCGGGCCCACATGGAGTACTGTTCTCACCTCTGGGCGGGAGCCCCCTATTACCAGCTTCTTCCATTTGACCGCATTCAACGTAGGGCGGCTAGGGTTATCGGCGATCAAAGTCTTTCCGATCGACTTGATCCTTTGGCTCTGCGTAGAGATGTTGGATCACTTTGCATCTTCTAGCGCATTTATCACGGGGAGTGTTCCGAGGAATTGTTTGGATTGATCCCGGCGGCTGAATTCCACCATCGGACATCGCGCCAGAACCAAAAATTTCATCCACAACCACCTCGATGTCCAGCGTTCCACCACAGCGCGATTTTCAAGGCATTTCTTGCCTCGCACAACCACTCTGTGGAACCAACTGCCGCCGGCGGTCTTTCCGAACCGTTACGACCTGGGAACCTTCAAGAAGAGAGCGTACTCTTTCTTAAAAGGCCGGCAACGCATTTGTGAGCCCTCGGTTGTTGCAGGTGTTCATGGGCGACGGTAATCACTTACCATCAGGTGAGCCTCCTGTTCGTTTGCCCCTTTTTTCCATTAAAAAAAATCAGTACACTAGAGCGACCTGAGTTCAATTCAAGTTTAACGCCCGGTTTCTGAAATACTGATCATCGTAGAAATTAACTTATCAGCTGACATTTGAAAAGCCATTTGACAGCTGATTAGTTAATCTCCTCGATGATTAGTTTTTCAGATACCGGGCGTGAGTTAATTAAGTTTCAATTCAAGTTCAAGTGCTTATTTATTTCATTTATTTATTTATTATATGTTGTACACCAAAAACGTGAAAAGTGCAAATTACAAATGAACGTAAAAGGAAGCACAATAGGATGTCTTATCGCTCTGAAAGCGATTACTTCCAGACAACCATTGCGAAAACAATTTTTGCTACAGACAAAGAAGAGAGCAGAGCATGTACACTTAACACGAATCACTAATTAATAGTAATAATTAAACAAATAATAATAATTAATTAATTGGAAAACCGTAAACCTTACAGGCTACTTATTCCGCTGCTCGGGAAAATACATGGACGACTTCAAGCCTGCTCTCATCCGCAACGTGTGGGGCACGGAATCCCTTTCCGAAAGCGTCTCCTGGCGCAACTCCCAGTTCAATAAGGTAGGCTTATCACTACCGCTTTTATATCAATTTCAACGGCTAATAAATAAATATATACAAATATATCAAAGGAAGACGATCACTTTAGTATAGGGACATGCCCTAACCATGTACAAATACCAGATATGTATTTAACATTTTAAACCGCTTAAGATCTAGAATTTATTTATGTTTTCTTATTAGAATATTTATTACGCATAAAAAGCTATAAACTTTACCATAGTAAAAGTTTGAAGCATTATGACATTAACGCCCGGTTTCTGAAACACTGATCATCGTAGAAACTAATTAATCAGCTGTCAAATGGCTGTTCAAATGTCATTTGAGTTAAGCCTAAAGATGGTTAGACTCTTCTCGACTCTTATAGAGTAAACCTCACAATTATCCTAATCCTACCGTAAGTGAATTACACACACACACACACTTTCTCTACTCATCGTTTATACTATTTTCATCAAATCAGCCCATAGACAAAACTGTGCGCGGCGTGCCCACAGGCCATAGACAAGGAGACGCTCTCCCTGCGCCTAATGTGCATGAACCCGGCGGTGGTTTTCGAGGGCCTGAAGGCGGCGCGCTGCATCCTGCTCGCCTCGGGGACCCTCACGCCGCTGCTCAGCCTCCACTCGGAGCTCGCCACCGAGTTCCCGCTCCAAGTCAGCCCCAACCACGTCATACCGGCGGACCGGGTGAGAGTTGGACCTTATTGCCACTGTCTTAAGGCGCAGTTTTAGCCGGTTTTCTGTCACTAACTGCTCGACTATTGAAACGTGAAAAATTCCCACTCGGAGCTCGCCACCGAGTTCCCGCTCCAAGTCAGCCCCAACCACGTCATACCGGCGGACCGGGTGAGAGTTGGACCTTATTGCCACTGTCTTAAGGCGCAGTTTTAGCCGGTTTTCTGTCACTAACTGCTCGACTATTGAAACGTGAAAAATTCCCACTCGGAGCTCGCCACCGAGTTCCCGCTCCAAGTCAGCCCCAACCACGTCCGGTTTTCTGTCATACCGGCGGACCGGGTGAGAGTTGGGCGGACCTTATTGCCACTGTCTTAAGGCGCAGTTTTAGCCGGTTTTCTGTCACTAACTGCTCGACTATTGAAACGTGAAAAATTCCCACTCGGAGCTCGCCACCGAGTTCCCGCTCCAAGTCAGCCCCAACCACGTCATACCGGCGGACCGGGTGAGAGTTGGACCTTATTGCCACTGTCTTAAGGCGCAGTTTTAGCCGGTTTTCTGTCACTAACTGCTCGACTATTGAAACGTGAAAAATTCCCACTCGGAGCTCGCCCACCGAGTTCCCGCTCCAAGTCAGCCCCAACCACGTCATACCGGCGGACCGGGTGAGAGTTGGACCTTATTGCCACTGTCTTAAGGCGCAGTTTTAGCCGGTTTTCTGTCACTAACTGCTCGACTATTGAAACGTGAAAAATTCCCACTCGGAGCTCGCCACCGAGTTCCCGCTCCAAGTCAGCCCCAACCACGTCATAACGGCGGACCGGGTGAGAGTTGGACCTTATTGCCACTGTCTTAAGGCGCAGTTTTAGCCGGTTTTCTGTCACTAACTGCTCGACTATTGAAACGTGAAAAATTCCCACTCGGAGCTCGCCACCCAGTTCCCGCTCCAAGTCAGCCCCAACCACGTCATACCGGCGGACCGGGTGAGAGTTGGACCTTATTGCCACTGTCTTAAGGCGCAGTTTTAGCCGGTTTTCTGTCACTAACTGCTCGACTATCGAAACGTGAAAAATTCCCACTCGGGGCTCGCCACCCAGTTCCCGCTCCAAGTCAGGCCCAACCACGTCATACCGGCGGACCGGGTGAGAGTTGGACCTTATTGCCACTGTCTTAAGGCGCAGTTTTAGCCGGTTTTCTGTCACTAACTGCTCGACTATCGAAACGTGAAAAATTCCCACTCGGGGCTCGTCCACCCAGTTCCCGCTCCAAGTCAGCCCCAACCACGTCATACCGGCGGACCGGGTGAGAGTTGGACCTTATTGCCACTGTCTTAAGGCGCAGTTTTAGCCGGTTTTCTGTCACTAACTGCTCGACTATTGAAACGTGAAAAATTCCCACTCGGAGCTCGCTACCCAGTTCCCGCTCCAAGTCAGGCCCAACCACGTCATACCGGCGGACCGGGTGAGAGTTGGACCTTATTGCCACTGTCTTAAGGCGCAGTTTTAGCCGGTTTTCTGTCACTAACTGCTCGACAGTACTTACATACATGATTACATTAAATATTAACAGAAATCAATCCTTACTGATATTAAAGGCGAAAGTTTGTATGTATGGGTGGATGTTTGTTACTCTTTCACGCAAATATTACTGAATGGATTTTAGTGAAACTTTACAATAATATAGCTTATAAATCAGAATAACACATAGGCTATAATTTATATACATATTTCTATGTATATCTGTCTTTCTGTATGAATGTTACGCCTTCAGCCGGTTCTACGCAGACGTAGTTGCGGGCAGCAGCTGGTAGAAAATAATTTGGGGCCAAGGGGCCTCCGCTCCTTTGTTGCCCCCACGCCTGCAGACCTCTAATGCCCAGTTCCTCTTCAACGAACGGCCGTCAGTCACATAGCTTCGTAACTTTCATAGCGATAATAAGCTTGTAGATAAAAGTCAAATCAGTGTAATCTGACCCCGGAACCAGGTGTGGGTGGGCACGCTGTCCACGGGCCCGGGCGGGGCCCGGCTCGAGTGCGGCAGCCGCGCGGCCGCCCAGCCGCCCGTGCAGGACGCGCTGGGCCGCGTGACGGTCACCGTCGCGACGGCAACGCCGCACGGCGTGCTCTGCTTCCTGCCCTCCTACCACCTCATGAACAGCCTGCAGAAGCGGTGCGTGCCGGACGCGGGCGCACGCACACGTACGCGTGCGTGTGCGTGCGCACGTGCATGTACACTCGAGCTCGCGCGTGTGTGTGCGTTTTTATGAGAAGATGGCAATTGAGCTGGGGGTTCGCTCGATGTTGAATGATAACCGCCGCCCATTTGAAACTGCCAACTGAATAGGCTTGCAGATGCGTTCCACCTTTTAATGAAATTTAATGAAAGGGGCTCCGGCTACCTAACTCAACAGACGAAACGCAGAAGTGTGACACTTCCACTTCGACGCCGGTCTCCTGTGAGGTCGTGGTACTTACCCGAACGGACCTGCCCATCCTTCCAACAGAGAAGACTTGCGTGGCCCTACCACATCTCGCGTGTGTATACGTTTGCGTATGTATACGTGTATACGCAAGCTCGCGTGTATGTACGCTTGGGTATGCGCGCTTGCACACGTGCAGAAGCTTGTCGCTTGTCTGTGATCCCATAATGATGTGTCCTTATATTTTTTGCTTTTTTCATTAAACATTACAATATTAAATGGCACAGGATTAGTTACATTTTCATTTTTATTGTTCATGCATTAATTGATAAATTAGTTTTATTTAAAAATTTGTAGATTGCGCATAAACGTGTTTAACAAACTATTGGCTAAAGTCGATAATTGTAAATCATGAAAGTTTTCTCTTGAGTTTATTTTACCATATCATAATAATCTTGTGTTTTTAACACAATCTCAATACAACATTTAACAACGTGATTGGCGTATTAGGTAAAAATATGTTAAAGTATCTTTAACAATTACCTAGCAACCCATCCAGTATAAGCTTTGCTTAGTTTGTGAATAGATAAGCGGTGTGTAAAAAAAAACAATATATCCTGAAATATTTATGTAATATTTTTCAAACTAATTACATTTTGTAGGATCCAGCCTCACCAAACCTCTCGTGATCGTATAATTGTGAAATAAAGCGTATTTAGCGGTCAGCACTCTATTCACACCCTTTCGGCAGATTCTCTTAACTGGTTTCTATTCTTATCCAATAATAACAATGGGTAGTGGCTATTATTGCCAAAAAAAATCAACATACGTCCTCATACATGACACTTCTGTTCTGTTGTGAATCTTGTTTGACCAGGTGGCAATACTGTTAAGTAGACGAGGGTAACTTTTTCTTCAGACTTTAAAAATAACTATTTCAGGTGGAAGGAGACAAACATTTGGCAGCAGCTTAACGAGCTGAAGCACGTCTTTATGGAGAGTAGAAATGTAAAAGATCACAACGATATCATGGAGGTGAGTATTCCTCACTCCTGTTACTCCTATCATCTGACCCGAACGACGTAGCGGGTAGCGACTCTGCCTCTTGCGCCAGAGGGTGTGGGTTCGATTCCCGCTACTGGAAAAATATTGTCTCGGTAAAAATATTTACAAAAGAAATGTATGTTTATCAGTTATCTAGTATCCATAGTACAAGCGTTGCTTAGTTTGAGATCAGAATACGTTGTGTAAAAATGTGTCCTGAAATATTTATTTCATTACATTTATATGTGTTGAGCTTCCCGTTGTTTGAGGGCCAATATGGGTGAAATACATTAGGTAAAGTTCATCAACAGGATTACTACAAGTGTGCTAGTACGAGCAAAGGCGCGCTTCTATTCGCCGTCTATCGCGGGAAGGTGTCCGAAGGCATGGACTTCAAGGACCACCAGGCCAGAGCAGTCATCACGGTGCGTACTTTGAATGGCTTCTTGAAGGAGGACGGATGCTTTTCGAAGGAGGAAGGATGCTTCTTGAAGAAGATATACTTCTTGAAGGAGGGATGATTTTCAATGAGTGGGGGGTTGTTTCTTGGAGGCAGGATGCTTCTTGAAAGAGGGGTATTTCGCTTCATGTCGCAAATTCCGATCTGATAAAGATGCAATTTAGACAGCTATTATGCTATGGTCACTAGATAACATTCCGCATAGAAGCAATTAACTCATTGGAGCTTAATACATCTGAAATAAATACGCCGAAATCCGCATTCAGAAGAAGGCCAACAGTTAATAACAATAATAGCTCGAGCACGCGTTTTGGCTTCTAATGCGTAAGGAAAATAGCTAATGTTGTTTCACAGAACTTATTTAGTCCCTAACAACATGATCACCGTTACACAAATTCGAGTACAGAACTAAGTTGATAAATTACTAAAACACTAAAACATATCGCTCTGACATGAGAAACTCACAAGTTCGCTCGAGGAAAGCAAAAGTTAAAAAGACATTCGATGCGAGTAGTCGATCTAAGGTCCCTTTGGGAGAAAGAAGGCGGGTGGTTGTGATCATTGAACGAGAAGGCCATAGATTTATTGCGCGAAAGGTTACATGCGAAAACTTTTTCCACACTATCATTTTCCCCCTCTTACTTTCCGCAAGTTTTTTGTCCGTCACTATAGAAGGAACTTGGGGACCTTCAATAAGAAAGCCTCTTTCCTCAAATGCTAACAACGCAATTGTGACTCCTCCAATATTTCTAGAGACTATTGGTGGCGGTGATCGCTTACCACCAGTTGACCCGTTTGCTCGTTTGCCTCATTTTCCCATAAAATACAGTGAAAATTAGTAAGTAATTGCGTGCTGTTGAGTTGATGGAAGTTGGTATATACACCTTCCGTCGCCACAAATATAAGGAATTAATTTCCCCGTAAGAAACCAAGAACAGGTGCCACCCACTGGGTTTAAAATACATTACATCCAGAGACCTTTATATCTTGTACACATCAGGTGGACCACCAGCTCTTTTGCCATATCCTCACATTAAGAAAAAATCCTCTTTAGGTGGGCATCCCGTATCCGAACACCTACGACATAGCGGTGAAGGAGAAGATGAGCTACAACGACCGTTACGCGGCTGAGAGGAATCTCCTCTCCAGCAGCGACTGGCTCCTCGTGCAGGCCTACAGGTGAAGCTATCCCAATACGTCTATTTTCTCCCATTAGGAAGTTTATTAGGGATCCACTAATTAAAGCCTCTTAATCGGACTGCCTTCAATTTGGAAGGAATCCTCTATATGGCCGCATAGTTTCTTCTTGAACATGGTTTCATTCACAACTTCATGGTTTGATCTTCACTGGACTATATTCTATTAAATGGAACATTCAAACGAAACTCGTCGATTGTATAGGTACGAAACAATTGCCTGTTTTGGTGGGTTTTCTGGTTTTTTTCTGTTGGCATACACAATGTTTTGTTTCATTTGAAATCTTCAAATTCAACGTTTTGAGTTTTTGAACAATTCTGCAACCTAAGAAGATTGTAAATACCTAATGATTTCCAAAGTTAACTTTACTAGAAATTGAATGCAGATTGCAGATGCGCTGACAACCTTTAAAAAAGTGGGTACCTCACACACGAGACGAAACGCTAAAATTTAAAGTCGGTCTCCTGTTAGAACGAGGTGCTTCCCCGGACGCGCCTGCCCATTCGTGCAACAGCAGCGGTTTTTTTTCGTAGCCCTACTAAAGCAAAGTGAGCTGTGGTAGGTTGCTTTTTATGCTTGTTATCTCCCTCTCTCCCGTGCATTTATTATTCCCATACGGTAGTGGGGTCTACCTTGCTTGTTTTCCACTTCGCTGTATCCATCGCACCGTCATGGATAATATTGCAGGCGTTGAGGCATTTTCCAGTACCTTTGTCCATCTTATTTTTGAAGCTTCTCCTGGAACCTGAGATGTCGAGATGGTACGCTTCTTCACCCTATGTTATGATATGCTTGTTCCCGCTTACCTCTTCTCTGTACTCAATTTTTTTTCGTTATACCCTCATTTTAGGATAACATTATCCTGTGTTGTAAGGACATTTTACAACCATAAATTGCACGAGGACAAACACCCAGATGCGAAACAACTATCTTTGGGTCGCACAAATAGTTGTCCCGTTTGGGAATCGAACCCACGACCCCCGACGCCGAAGCCCATGCCATCTTTCCAAATGCGCCAAGGAGTCATTAAAATATCAGTGTAAGTTACAATAATATCAGTTTATGTTAAAAAAAATGACCCTGACCCGTTGGAAACTCGAACGCAGGGCGCTGAACCAGGCGGTGGGCCGCTGCGTGCGCCACCGCTCCGACTGGGGCGCCGTCCTAATGGTGGACGCGCGATTCACCAACCCCTACTACACGAAGCACCTCTCCAAATGGGTGCGCAACTTTGTGAGTCGAGTATTGTGAGCCAGTATTTGTTTCAGAATTTGAAATGGTATGATATTTTTCAAGTTATACCTCTTCTGGGGCGTTTTGGGATAATGGTGGGGGTGATTTTTTACGATCGACACCGAATACGTGGTGTTAACACGACAGCCAATAACTTTTTGACATTTACCTATAATGTCAAGTTATTTAATTAAACCGTTATCAATTGCATTAATTATTAATGTACATTCAATGGCATAGGGGATAACATTTTTAGGTATTTTTCTTTTATCACAGTATAACTTCTTACGTGCTTAAATAAGTACACACGAACGCTTTTTGATGATTTATTCAAAAATTTTCAATCCATTATTTATTTCGAGAATTAATGGAGTCTGGATAAAAGTCATAACTTAATATACTGTTAGTAATAACAGTAGAACAACTGGCCAGATGTTTCACTGGTAAATTGTTTTTTTTTTATGTGTAAAAAGTTGCCAAATGAGCAGACGGTTCACGTGATGTTAAGTGAATACCGCGGCCCAAGGACATCAGCCACAGCCGAGGGTTACAGATGCGTTGACAGCCTTTTGAAAATTGGCCTGCGGCTACCTCATCCACCAGACGAAACGCGAAAGTATTTGTCATACTTCCACTTTACGCCGGTCTTCTGTGAGGTCGTGGTACTTACCCGGACGAGCCTGCCCATTCGTGCAACATCCGAGGCCGTGGCCCTACCACCGTAAACTGTCATTCTTTTCTACATTAAATATCAAGTCATTAATATACACTGATAATATGTTTCCTCTGCCCCACGACAAGGCGACGTAAAATACTTAAGTGGCTTTTTATTTATTCGTCGTCTTATTTTTGCATACCCTGCAAAATGGGTAGAATATAGTAATTTTATATAAGACTAACTTTTCCCCTGCTGATTCGCTCGCGTTGAAGATATTTTCAAACCTTTACAACACTTTTTCCAATTAAAAAATAGCCTATGTCCTGTCTCAGGCTCTAGACGGTGTACCAAATTTCAATTAAATCGGTTCAATTGTTTTGGCGTGAAAGCGAGACAGATAGACTTACTTTAGAGTTACTTACTTACAGAATTACTTTCACATTTAGAATATTATTGTGGATAATATACAATTACTATTCCGTACACCTATGGCTAACCTATATTTCGCAAATAAAACATTATTCCATGAAGTAACTTCATAATAGTTTGAATATAAATGATAATTTAAATGTAACGTTTTCAGCTAGGAAACAACCATCACACGTTCGAAAGCCTAGTCAACAGTCCGAATGGGATCACGAACTTCATGCAAAACATGGCCGTCCGGGAGAGCGAAGACGTGTAACTGAAACGGTGATTGTTGATTCATTGATTGATGACTGTTATATTGGCTTCAATTTCAATGTTATCGCTGATGCGACTATTAATATCATGTTATGCCTTTATTAATAAGGGATCGTCCATTAATCACGCGAGTTAATCACTCCAAAGGGGATTTGTTTGTTCGATGACTGCGCGATTTCTAAAAAGGCGGCATGTGAGCTTGACTCGCTGGGCAAAAATTTCTCCCGCCCGTCAGAAAAACATTCCGCTCGGGTCTGAGAATTTTTATCACGCTCTTAATTTAGCAGAATAAAACTAGATTATACTTACTAAACTGTAGTTAAAGATATTGTAAAATTGTCACCTCTTTCAAACCACCAAGTATCACCACAGAGTAAAAAAACCATCACACGATTAATGGACGCGACCCATGTGATATTTAAGAATAATAAAGTATTGTATTTTTTCGATGTAACAACGTATTATTTTCAAATTGTCATAAGTTTTAACACTTCTCTTCTATTTCTTCTTTCAAATGTATTTTGCATTGTATGCTTTAACAACTCTACTACAAGTCGTTATAAATGACTTATGAGAGTATGAGAACACAATATTTCATTTGTCTTTAAAAATATAGGAGCAATGTAAAAGAAAGACAAAGATTCAATAGTAATATTGTTCATGATTGTTGGCTTTAATAATATGAATTGTGACTTAAAAATAACTACAGTTTTCTATTACATTACAGTGCATACGAGGTACTAGGAATGAAAAAAAACACTTAACGGTTCTTGTTGGCCCTGAAACAAAAATTACGCAGTAAGAAACAATTCAGCATAAAATCATTGTTAAAATGATATCAAAGACAAATAGTTGCGGGTGCTCGCCTTTTAATTCACACTGACCGCACTAATTAAAGGATTTTTTAATTTTAAATAGAAAAGAAATAAAGTGCTGCTACAACACGTGCTATGAGGTAAACACCTGCATTAAAGTGATATGTTCGTCTGTTCAACTGTTCGTCACACAATATATTTGCCAGTAGTGGGGATCGAACCCACACCCTCTGGCGCAAGAGACAGGTTCACTATCCACAACGCCGATCGGATTACCAATAAAAGTTTCTCCAGTGCGAGCTCTCTGGCGCCTTTAAAAATATTCCCACTCCAAATGAGATATCGAGCTATCGACCAATGAAATCGCTTCAAGTTTCGTCATCTCATTCTTATGAGCCGGCATAAAGCGGTTGAAGATTGAAAACAGAAATTGAGAATCGAGATGAATCCGTGGCGCAGTTGCCGGTGCGCTGAGGGTCGTGGGTTCGATTCACATATTCGTGTGACCCACAGATAATTGTTTCGGATCTGTATGTTTGTCTACCACAGTGTAAAACAGGATAATGTTATTTATTTAGTCTTTATTCCTTTTCCTTTAATACGGAATACAATAGGCGGACTTGATACCTTTAGGCATTCTCTGCCAGTCAACCTATGGTGTGGTGAGATCTTTAGTCAGGTGCAATAATAAAACTAACTAAAAACAAAATTAGAAAATAATAAACCAAAAGAGTAACAAATACTTTATATACAAAATATATTAAAATAAACTTCTTATAAATACACATATATAATAATCTGATGGTAGCAAATATAAAACAAAAAAAAAAGAAAATAAAAACGGCCAAGTGCGAGTCGGACTCGTGCATTGAGTTAAGAATGTTATCGTAAAGGGGCAATGTTTTAAAAAAAGAAGAGAGATAGCATTAAGGCGCTGTATGCAGTAAAAATAGGTTTTTCAAAAGATTTTTTAGCAAAATGTACACATTTTATAGCAGCAAAAAAAATATATGTTAATCTTGATCGTACATTCTAAGGGAACATTGTTTCCAAAACATATTCTCGATATATTTTCTCGATAGAAAAAAATCATGAAACTACCTCTAAAAGAGAAATTCAAAACCAAAAATGAACGTAATACATCAACAAATCTTAATGAAATTAATATCAGTGGTGTAGAATATATTAATAAAAAGGATTGTTGTTTTAATTTTTTGATTGATGTAAGATATCTCTAAATATTAATTTAATTCGAACGCGATGGGCAAAACACCACACCACCGCGGCGTTGTTTCGGCTCTCTTCCAACTCCACACGTTGAACAGAGAGCGCTGAGGCGCCTTGCTAGGTGGACCTATGCCGCTCGTCTTCCGCTCACCGTTACGAAATATGTTCCGTATTTATTTATTATTGAGGGTTATAATTTTATTAGATCTTTCGGAAACACGAAACTAAAAAATATATATTCAAATATTTCGTATTTTTAATTATTTGTATGAATTAACAACTAAAGCGTAATTTTTTCTATATCATAACTTGTCATTGATAAGTTTATCAGTCCTATACAAACAGTGTAAAGGCAGGGATGCCAACTAAGGAATTTTCTTCCGAAATTTAGGAATAAAAAATGTGGAATGGAAGTTTATTGGGAGGTAATTTTTATGGGAATATTTTTAAGAGTTAAATTTTATTCACATTTTCGAAAAAAACTACACAAAACAACTTATTTAAAAAAAATTCAGTGCTGCTTTGGATGACGTCAGGCCAAGGCCTATGTGTCTGGTATGAATATTTTATGTATTCTAATATTTTTTTTTAATATTGTTTTGATTTTATTCTTAACATATTCATTTCAAATGAATTATGTTATATTTGATGTTCTTGACCATGGTGTATTTTATCAGATAATCATTTTGCCTTTTCCTATAATATAAAAAAATCCTGATTTTAAATTTAGAAATTTTTGTTTGAATTTAATAAATTTTAGTCGGTTTTCGAATTGTTTTAGGAGTATTATTTTTGAACAGTTGGTAACACTGTGTTAAAGGTAAAGGACCATTCTATAGGGATTGGGTTCAAATCCCTACATTTTTCTTTGTTATATTTTTTGGTGATTTTCTTTTTGTAGGTATTTTTTTTTAATTTACCATTTAATTTTTGTTGATTTTTTTATTTTTATAAATAATTACAACGAAATATTATTGTATTTGTTGAACGTTCTACGTACTGCAACAGTTGGAGAACAATCTATCAGATAATAAACCAACTTTTCATTATTTACAATTTTTAACAAGTCTTATATTGTATGTTGTTTTTAATTTGTTTTATTAAAATATTTAATTTTTCACCCTAAAACGAAACCCATTCTTTTACGGACACGAAAAATAATTGTTTTATAATTTTTGTATTTTTCACATTTTATCAAATAACAACAAAATAATTAATTGATTAACAAATTAAAATTGGAAAAAGATGTATCAACCATGACGCTCGGACCAATAGGCTACACGATGTCTGCGGAAGGGAACAATATTTCGATTCTAGTTATAATTGTTGTCGTTTATCGATATAAGGAATTTTATTTTAAATATAATTTCATTGAAGAATTAATATAACGTAGTAAGTCTTTCACATTTAAAGGATAAATTAAAGATATAAAGTTTAAGAAAATATGTAACAAAAAAGTATTCGTAATTTCTGCCGAGGAGACTATGAAATTGCTTAAATTTTTTATGAGAAAATTTTACTTTAAATCAAAATAAATAATTATTCGTTTATTTATTGTTTTGTTGTAAGAAATGTCATTTGCCTTTATTAATTTATTTGACCTTAACATGTATTTTTAATGTATTTTAATCCGTTTCGTGATAATTTAAAATAATTAATAGGTAGATTTTCTAAAATTGTTGATTGCTTTCTCAAACTTTATATTTGTTTGTTTATTACTATTCCTATAATAATATAAGAGTAAGATATAATCATGGTCTATAAAAGATATTATAGGGACCATCTGTGTACATTTTCAACAGTCTCCCGAGAGTACTATCGATAGTGTCCTACGGCCCATCACTACACACTAGGTAATGAATGGTCCAGCGGCGCGTCGACGAAACTCGCGCGCTGCGCGCCGCTAAGCGGCGTCACCCCTCCTCCGCTTCCTCATACTTCACCACCCGAATAGTTAAAGATTCACTGCATACAGCGCCTTAAGGTGCAGGGCGCGAACTCACTTGTCGGTGCAGTGGACGGCGCGCTCGTGTCGTTTGAGATGGGACACGTGCGGGAACGAACTGTTGCAAATCGAGCAGACGTACGGACGCTCGCCGGTGTGGTACCTGCAATATTGGCGACAAATCGGTTTAGATGTGGCGGCGGTGGCAGTTGTTGCAGCCGTTGTAGTCTAGTGGCATTCGACTTATGTGCCCTCGAGGAACCAGTTGTCCAGTAATATAATAAATAGAACCATAATAATTGTCTTTCAGCTCTTCGCATGTGCAATTTTCAATTCAGAGTCCATTCTATAGTGCCAGCAAACAATATATAAAAATATAATAAAAAGTTTTCGTTACATAAGTGTTACTCGTAAGTTACTTTGATCTTTTTGCTAATATGTGATGTTATGTAGAATTTAATATTGCACATTTTAGATTTCTTGTGTTGTGTTTATTTATTTTAACGGTAATTATTCTCCTATACGATAATATTTTCAAGCTATTTTTAAATACTTCCATACTAGTCAGCGGACCAAATTATAGACTGGATCATAACAATGTACCAGTTATTATTATTAATAAGAATATTTACAAAAACAGTGTTATATTATTTTTCGCCATTTATTTGTTTTCAATCTGGATAACATGGAATGACATAAGTCAGTGTCCCAGAGAAAGTTAAATTATAGTTTCAAAAATTAGAAAGATATCAACTCAATTTTCCGATTGCTCAATTTACCAAAATCACCTTCATTACGTATTTTGAGAAAATCTTAAATTGCACTAAGAAAATAGTAAAGTTCGACGTGTGTTAGCGTAGAAATTTGTATAAATTTTTGGAATTGATGTAAATTTCAAAAAAAAATATTATTTGTTATCTTATCCTTTAAACACACACTTATATATAACACACTTATATACAAGAATTATAATATATATATATATATATATATATATATATACAAGAATTGCTCGTACAGCTGCCTTTACATGTAATCAAGGACCCAAGGTACACAAATTCAGTGACTTTTTGATAGTCATATATATATAATTGGAATCTCGGAAACGGCTCCAGCGATTTTCATGAAATTTAGTATGTGCGTAGATTCGGGGGCAAAAAATCGATCTGATTAGGTTTCATTTTTAGAAAATGTCGTTTTATCCCAGTTTTCAGGGAATGAAAAATATTATTCGAATACGACGGTAAATTTCACCGAAAAAAAAATGTTATAATAGCTCGGTCCGTAATCGGGCGGCCGCTAACAAACAGCCACGAAACAGAAGGCCGTGGTTCGTATCACGAATATTTATACACTTTTTTTTTTTACTTTTTTTTTTTTCGATTCCAGATCATTGCTCTCTTTATCTTTCATTTTTTGTCCATTTGTTATTTTGTTATTTTTTCCCTTTTTTTTAAAGTTCTTTTGTGAAAAACACCAGTTCATATTTTCTTATTATTACTTCGGTAAGATCGAAACATATTATGCATTTTTTCATTACTTAGTAATTTGTATCTAAATGTAATTTCCAAAATACACGATTTACCAAAAAAAAAAAAAACAAACCGAGCAAAGCTCCGTCCTCCGGGTACTTTTAATAAATCGATATTTTTCTCTAAATGAACATATTTTGGTAATTTTTTTAAAACTGCGCCCGCATATGGGGCACACCCTGAATAAAAAATTTAGATAACTAACATTATTGAACTTAGTATAGCTGCATTTACAATGACACTTATTACAATTATCACTACGGTGTATGATTACAGAGAGTATTACCTTTTATGTACATCGAGATCCGTCTTCTTGTAAAACTTCCTGCCGCAGTTTTTGTTGTCGCATTCGTACGGCGTCAGCTTCTCGTGATCGCGCTTGATGTGGTTCTTTAGCTGGAATAACAACAGAAAATTTATCAGTAATAGCATCATCACCGAAGGTATACTTATATTATATGATAATATATTTTAATATTTTAGGACACATTTTTTTTTACACAACATTTTCTAGTCCCAAACTAAGCAACGCTTGTACTATGGGTACAAGAAAACTGATAAACATACTTAAACATATTTTTCTTTTGTAATTAATACATATTATATAAATATAAACCCAGACACTAGAAAAACACTTTATGTTAGTAGTAGTGGGGATCCAACCCACACCCCCTGGCGCAGGAGGCAGGTACACTTTTATTTTTTTTTTACCTTTTGTTACCTTACGATCATACTCTGCGATAAATATTGCACATCGGTCTTTGGAAAGCGACGAATAAAACTGTTCCTTATTATCCCTGATTTGTCCCAAAGTACGATATGCCATATTTATAGCTGAGTACTGAAAACAACGATCTCTACATTTGGAAATAAATGACAGGTGAACTTTTACGGATTTCATCGCGTTTTAATTTGACCTTAAATTCTCGACGTTTCGAAACTTTCATGATAACGAACAGACTCGAGCATAATACTTCTGCGTTTCCTTGCCCACTTTATTAATGACCGGTTCCTATATACAACGAACGGCCGTTAGTTACATAGTTTCGTAACTTTCATAAAGACTTGCAGATAAAAGCCGTGTACGCCCGGTTCCCAGATTAACAAACCGGGGTTTTCCTTACGAGCCGTTGCATCACCTACGGAAAGCGAGTTACTAGCTCAACATCAGGTCGATTGGCACCTCCTCGCATAAAACAAAAACCTCACCATCCAAGCGGCGCTGTAGGAGGCGTCGCAGAGGCGGCACTTGTGCTCCGGCAGCACCCTCGGCTCGTGGGCCCTCGCGCGGTGCTTGTTCAGCGTGGAGCGGTAGCCGAAGCGGGCGCCGCACACGGCGCAGGCGTGCTTGCGCAGCGACGGCTCGTGCGTCGCTGGGGGCGGTGTTGTGCATAAGCCCCGCCGCCGGGCGAAGGCACGCAGCAGCCTCGGCTGTTGCACGAATGGGCGAGGCTCGTCCGGGTCACAAGCCACGACCTCGCAGAAGACCGGCGTAAAGTGGAGGTATAATACGTTCGCGTTACGTCTGGTGAGTGAGATGGCCGGAGCCCAATTGAGCAGTGAGCAAAAACTGAATTTTCGCTTGATTAAAATTCTGCCATTATTTAAAAAAACCTCATATCGAAGGTCTTTACTGTCAGCAATAGCTGTTAGTAGTGGAAGTAAAAGTACATATATTATTGCGTTCCATTTGGTGAGTGAGGTAGTACAACATTTCTGGCGTTTATAGCGTCCAAGGTGAGAAGTGCTCACTCACCATTAGATTATCTGCTCAGTTGCCGCGCCTCAAAATAAAAAGATAGATTATCGCGAACCCTCACCCATATGCGAGCGATAATTGTCCTTCTTCTTGAACACCTTGTTACAAGTGCGACAGACGTATATCACTTTCTTCTTCCCCCTCGCCTTCACGCTCTTCGCGGCATCGGCGCCCTGTTTCAGCTCGCTTATCTTCACCACTATCGGTTGGACGCAGTCGTTCGGCGGCTCCATTTTCACCGCCCCCGCGTCTCCATTCACCGTCAATTCGGGCGCCTCTCCCTAGGGTTGTCGAAAGTGATGAAATATATCGATATTTATAAAAATAACAATATCAGCCTCGATATATCGATATAATGGATCCTATTATGATGGTCCTAGAAACCCTGGACCACGTCCAAAAAAAAAAGGTATATCAAGCCTCAAATATTTAAAACCTGCGTAATCTGTTCCAGATTCGAATTTAAAAAATATCGTTTTTGTTACGATTTTCCATATTGAATATTTTGTATCGATACATCAGATCCAAATATATCGGCAGAAAAAACATCCCTACCTCCGCCCCGATGTTCAGCATGTCCGTCAGCTGTTCCGCGTCGATCTCGCTGTTGAGGCTTATTATGAACGTGTCGTCGTCCTCGGTCGATATGTACTGCACGCTGTTCTCGCCGATCAGCTGGTTCAGGTTGGCGGCGAGGTTCGCGCTCGCCTCAAGGTCCACGTCGCTCTCGAAGATCGTGTCGCACTCGTTCACCGACACCGGCTATTGTCAATGCAAAAGTACGGACACTTCAACATCGACTGTGATGTTTTATGGCGTGGTGACATTACGATGCGTAATTATAGAATATAAACGGAGGGGGGGGGGGGGGGGGACTAAAAACACGTAACGAAGAAACAGGTCTACAAACACGAAAACTATGTCGATCCGAATGGCGTAGTGGGTAGTGTACCTGCCTTCTGCGCCAGAGGGTGTTCGATGGGAAAAATACTGTGTGATGAGCAGTGTTTTTGTAGTGTCTCGGTGTTTATATATGTATATTATGTATTTATTTACAAAATAAAAGTATATTTATCAGTTATCTAGTACCCATAGTACAAGCTTTGCTTAGTTTGGGACTAGAGAACGTTGTGTAAAAATGTGTCCTAAAATATTAATTATTATTATATTAACGCTGCCCTTCCCTCTCTTTGACCGCCCCTCCGTACACGCATCACTGGCATGTGATAATGAATTGATTAACTTATTTAAACTTTTCACCGGCTCGCTGCAGCCGAAGCCGATGTCCGCGCCGAGGAGCTCGTCCGGCAGGCCGTCGCCCTTCGCCTGGCAGAGCGCGTTCATGATCTCCTGGTCGATGCTCCTGCCGCCGTCGGCGAAGTCGAACAGTATCTCCGCGGCCCTGTCGTCCTGGTAGCCGCTACTTGTGGCACCGAACACCTGGCCGCTCTGGATCCCGTCCAGGTCGATGTCGTGGTACAGCAGCTCGTCGTCCAACGAGTGCAGCTGGTTCATCTCCTTGAGGAACTCGACCTGCATCTGCATCAGGTAGTCGTCGCTCGCCTGTTCCGAGCTGAACTGCATGTCCCGCTGGCCTCGTATAGTCATGTAATCGTCCTCGGCGGACAAAATGTCGTCCACGATGTTGTCCACTGTACGGTTTGTGTCTGCGCTTATAGGATTCACCTTCTCCTCTTTGCTGGCATCCTTAGTTGGGTTGGTGTGTTGTCTGAAAGTGTTGATTCAATATCAATCAAGGACAGAGTCTAAAAAGTAACATCCTGTATGTCTCACTGCCAGGCAAAGGTCTCATATGTACAGAGGGTGATTGGCGATAGTCCAACACTCGACCCCACTGCGGATTGGCCGAGTTTTTTTTTTGTTATTATTTCGAAAATATGCAGGTTTCCTCACGTGTTTCCCTTCACCACTGGGCACGTGATAAGTCAGCACTTAAAACTAACAATTTCATTGGTGCTGGCACCGGGGATTGAACTCAGGTTGCTCGAGTATATCAAATTAAAAACAAGCACCCGGATAATTATCTGGCAGACATTGAATTAACGAGTTATTAGTACTTTTCGTTAAATTTTAATGCAGGTAATTCGAACATGCTTACTTGAGATTAGATTACTATAATTATTATGTTTTAAAACTACAATAAAAAACATAGACAGAAAGAAGCATAGCATCTTTGGAAGATCAAATAGCTTGATAATAATGTATTTATATATATATGCTGTTAATGAAGGATATACATTTCATAATACCTATGGGGCATTCCACGCGAAGCGGACAGGTAAAAAAAGTTGATGTCTCCGATTTTAAGTAATATTTGATTATGTTATACCTATATGTGCCCTCAATCCAGATACAAAATATTTTTTCAGTATAAAATGTAGTTTACTATTTAGAGAGCTTTAAAAATGTGACTAACCGGCAGGTATGCGCCACATCGAATCCCATTATCCGGTATTGAAAAGATAAATGGAAATAAATGAAGTAGTCAAGTGTATGCTTAATTTAATGAGCTTTCTAATTGCATTTTTGGATATTAAAAAAAAAATATTTTTTTTGGAAAAAAATCATGTTCAAACTTAACTTGAATTTCACAAAGTTGGACCACTTTAATTTGTTTTATTTTTTTTTTTTAACTAGTTAATAGTGTATAGATATTCCTTGCCAAGTTGCATAATGGGCCGAGAAGTCGTTTAGGAGCTAGGCCATCTACAGTGTCGAAGGGTAGCGCCGGTGCCCGGATCGCGCCTACTGCCAGTTAACGCGAGATTACAAAACATCCAACAGAATATTTTGTTTACCTAATTGAGTTTAATAAATCATTTGTTCTTACTTAGATGTACTTTAATTCGGAGATGATAGATGTAGGATAAATCGGAGACTTCAACTTTTTTTACCCGTCCGCTTCGCGTGGAATGCCCCCTATTTAAAATTTCTTTTACCTGACACAATGCTCCAACAAAGCGCTTTTAAATTGAAATGTCATACCGCAAACTCTACAGTGATTTTTTCGAACTGTTTTATCAACAATTTCATTTTGATACTTATTGTTCAATGCGCAGTTTTGTCTGTGCCTTTTCATAGACGCCAGCTAAAAAATAAGGTAATTTATAATGTTCATTAATGTAGTTATTGGATTATAGAAAGTAGTGTGTTTTAAAAATAACTTAATAATTATCATAAAAGTGATAAAAATTATTAAATTATTTGTACAAAATTTACACATGTTAGTTTGTTACTTCCTATAAATTATATAAAAGTCAATCAAAATCATCCAAACTGATGATGAAAAAAGATGATGGAAGATTACAGTGAGCTTGACTCTTAGATTTTACACTAGAAACATATGTCACAAATTAATTAGATATCATTGGCTACCTGTTTAAACCTATTTCCGCAACCAGCACAGCAGAATGGTTTCTCATTTGTATGTGTTAATATGTGGCGCTTAAGGTTTGATTTATCTCTAAACTGCATGGCACAGGTAGGACATGGATACTTTCTTACATCTGAAAAATGGGAAATGTATGAAAATATTAAACTACCAATAAACATATCGTCACTGGAAAGGCAAAATTACTTAAACATTTATTTGGCGTTTAAATAATTTTTTGCATAAAAAAGTTTAGTAAAAATGAGCTACACTACTATACAATAATAGTTTAATAGCTGACAAATACACCAGTTTGTTGATGTTTTTAATAAAATATGTTCTTACCATTGTGTATATACTTATGTTTTTTCAAATCGGAGGACTTGTAAAAGGCTTTTTCGCACTGATCACATTTATGAGGTCTGCAAATAATAATAATGTATAGTTAATCTAAAGGCCCATTTACACGATGCCATTTTCTTGAACATACAAGAGCAATAATTGAATGCAATAAATTGCACGCAATAATTGTTTAGACCATTTCTTGTTTAGACCATGCAACTCATTTATTGCTTCAATTTAATTGTATACAACAGGCAAGAAACTGGCACCGTGTAAATGGGCCTTAATGGAAAGTACAAAAGACTTTCATTTTGCCGTAAACATTGTAACTAAATTGTACAAAAGAAAGACAAAATTTTACAAATATACACAATAATTATTATATGTGGAATAAAATCATATGTAAGAATGTTTAGTGCATTTTCAATATTGTGTAACAAAATGAAAATTTTTCAAGCACAATTTGTATTTTAACAAACCAGCAAAACCAACCTATAATCCAAATGCTTTGCAAAGAGATGCTGCTGCAACCTCCATAGTGCTTCAAAAGCCATGGTGCACTGGGGACATTTCCAAACCCAAGCCAGAGGTTTATGTGTTAACCCATGTTTCATCAGTTGCTGCTTAGTAGAAAACTTCTGATCAGGGCATTTATCTAGGCATTAGAAAGCACAATTGATACTCTTCAAATTAAACAAATAATCCATACTAATATTATAAATGCGAAAGTGACTGTCTGTCTGTCTCGCTTTCACTCCAAACTACTGAACCGATTTAAATGATATTTGGTTAATTTAGAGCCTGAGAAAGGATAGATAAACATTTTTTTTATTGGAAAAACGTGTCGTTGAGAGCTTCAACATGAGTGAAAAGCTAGTAACACTATAAACATGTTTTTATTGTTGTCGCCACTTATTCACAATTTTATTCCCCATCATTCATTACTTTGAGATCCACATCTCTGCTCATTGTCACCTCAACGGTGCAAATGGCAAAGTGTAGTGCAGAGGCTTTTATTCAACATTGAACATCTTTCAGATGATGATGATGTTGTTTCCTAATAGTCCAGGTGGGGACAATAAGTTGCACTCAGTTGACTTGTAAAGCTAATTTCTGTTCATTTATTCCAAGAAATCAATAAGACTAGGTACATGATAAATAGGACAAATGTTAAGAATGCTAACCATAATTTTTAATTCCACACAGGCAAAAAAGTCATAGAAATCAAACATAATCAATGAAAACGCTGACAACTTCATCTTGTAGTTGTTGTGTAGTATCATGGTGAATTGTTAAAAACTAGTATTATACAGAAAGACAGCAAAATTGTATTATCTTTCTATCTTACCACATATCCAAAGATTTTCTTTTGAATGAACTCTTAAATGGCCATAATACTTTTTAGCATTATCAAACTTTTTACTACATATTTCACAATGCAAAGTAGTGGGTCCATTCAAATCTGGTTCTTCCAATGGTCCGTCTGCCGACAAAAACTGCGCCAAAACATCATCGTTTCCTAGGAGCCCCCCATGAGAGGGTAAAGTGTTTTGAAGATCATCAAAACAGTCTTGCGGTTTACTTTTATTGTACTCTAAATCAGAGGCTTCAGCATCAACAAACTGAAACAAATAAGCTACGATTACAATTACATATAAACATATAAAGTTCCTGATCCCAATAATTATTTTATTAAACAATTATAAAAAAGTATAAAATTAATAGCTCACGGGAAACTTGAAGAATGATAAATTTGAATCCATTTTCTGAAATAACTAAAAGTGGGATACTTTCGCAGAAGGCGTGTAAGCAACTTTATTTGATAAAATATAACTTGATTTTTTTACATTCCAAGACAAAGAGACAATTTATTAGACATCACTAAGTAATGAATTAAGAAATTCAATTAAAAATAAAATATTGAAACTGAAAAGCAAATGACATTAATGGTAATGGATGGTTAATGGGGTAATTGACATTTAGCGTAGGGATGGCCAAAAAAATTTCGAATTATTGATTTTTTTAAATACAACGATATTTTTGGCCGATGTATTTTGATCCGATATATCGATATAAAAAATTGAATATCGAAATCGTATCAAAAACGATATTTTTATTCAAATTTAATTCAGTTGAATATTAACTGATTCAAAGCCGTCAAAGATAAAAATGAACGAGGGAAAATACTGTTGCCTATGACTAGTATTGTCGCGGATGCAGTGTTATATTTTGTACTATAATTATGGTATTTACTACACTGTATATATTTAATACAATTACATGCTTAGTAATATATACTATCCATATCTATGTAAGGTACAACATGGTATAGAGGTGTTACAAAACATTAATATTAAACTAGATGTTAAGCTAATTTATAAATAGCATGCAAAATATTAATATCATGAACTAAGGTTACTTTTATTTATTATGCAAATAAAGTGAAATAAATTTAATTATAATCAAATTATCAATAATTAAATGTCACATAGCATATTATCAAGTTTTCATTAAATTTATTTGTCGGTCAGAATTTTTATGTCAATCAAACAACTATTACTTAACTCTACTGATCTAAGTTTGTGCAAGTCTCTGCGGGTTTCTATTTGACCCATTATTAACTTCGTTTAAAAAAATTCTTTACGGTTTTCCAAAGTTCATTCATGTTTTTTTATTATTTATTTTTTGATTAGATTCAGAGCTAAAGAAACTGATTGATCTTACTAAATAAGCTGTTTCTTTTTTTCAAATGAAGGTCTTGATCAATAATATACCTAGAAATTTAGATTAATAAAAAAAATTTGATTAAAATTAATAAATAATTATGGATCTATTGTAATTTCTCATTCATTAAAATAATGTGAATTTAATATAAAAATTACTATTATTATTGAATCAGACTGAACTAAATACATTATTTTTTAAAACCGAAAATTTGACAGATACATCGATTTTTTTTTCGATATATCGAGGCCGATGTTGATATTTTTATAAATATAGATATATCGATATATTTCTCAACTTTCGTCATCCCTGATTTAGGGATGTTAGAAAGTCATCGATATTTAGCGATGTTTATGAATCGATTTTTTACCCACGAACCCGGTGCCGAAGCCAATACATTGACAACTGGGGCACGGAGTCATCACCCTGAAGTAAGGGGGCAATGTTTTCTATGGGAAGATTGTAATAAATCTTGGTCGGTTGCATCGCAGTGATCGTTACCACGATCGCACCCAACACACAAAATACAAAATTGAAATGAAAATACACTAAATGAACGCAGAATTTAAGTTAAACATCTGGCCGCCCTCGTGTTGTAAAGCCTCGAAATTGTATTCAAACCTAAACTCAAATGTTGCTGTATTAACTGTGGAATCATATTATAATGTCGTGATAGGATAAGAGGCGTCGACGCAATTTGCAGACTAATTTCAGAGTAACCCTGTGACTAGATACTTTTGACGATATATATTATTTTAATGAATAGATAGATTTGTTAATATAAAATAGCCATTACCCAGTATTGAAAAAGTATAAAATATCAGTATGTTTTTGCTAATACCAAAAGTATTTTTGCCATTGTCTAAAATCGCTGGAATTTAGAGACGTAAAATAGGACTTTATTATTGTTTATAACTTTTTTTGCTTAGAAAAATTTACCTAACATTACACTCTAGGCATTTTTCGTTATATCCAACACATGGGACTTACCCAAAGCGTTGTGTAAAAATGATTTTTAAAATCGGTTCATAAATAATTTAGTTCTTAGGCCACAAATGAAAAGAAAACCTAAATTGAGCCCCACTTAAATGTTATTTTGTTCTGTTTTACAGAAGTACATCGTCTGTGAAAATTTCAACTGTCAAACTATCACTGTTCATGACTTCATGAGATTCAGCCTGGTGACTTAGGACCACAGAACACTTTTACTCAAAGAGCTTTGCTTAGGACAGACAGACAGATAGACAGCGGAATCTTAATAATAGGGGTTTTACCCTTTTGGTACAGAACGCAAAACCTCCTCACTTTTGAAATCAGTTGAAAATAATGGAGATAAAAAGCATTTTAAAGCAAGTGATAACATCATTGAATATGTATTAAAGTAAATTATAGGGTATAAATATAGAATCGTATTCCTCGTTCAAGGATACCAAAAGTATTTGAAGGATCGTTTTATCAAAACAATTTCACCTAAATTATCCTCGTTAAAAATATATTCGGCAAAAAACATTTGTATAAATACCGTGATAGCTCAGTGTCCGGGCGCTCGCCTTTAATTCAATATACTCGAGCAACCTGAGTTCGATCCCCGGTGCGAGCATCAATGAAATTGTTAATTTTAAGTGCTGAATTATCACGTATTTAGGATTGAAGGAAAACATCGTGAGGAAACCTGCATATTTTCGAAATAATAACAAAAAAAATATTTCGAAGATATGTGAAATCCACCAAACCGCAGTGGGGCCGCGTGGTAGACTATGCCCTGATACCCTCTGTATAGAGGAGGCCTTTGCCCAGCAGTGGGACATGTATAGGCTGATACTTTACTTTACAAGTTATTTGTTAGTACATTACCCTATTGTTAATTTAATGTTTTCTTGAAAGGTAGACGCTTCGGTTTCAGGTTTTATTGGATCCCCATACAAGTTCATGGTCAATTTGTATATTTTTGTTCGAGACTAATGTGTATCTTGGTGTCTCAGCAATTTTTTACAATGGCTTTGAAAAAAAAAATTTCAAAGAACTTTATTGGCAATCTTTTGCATAAGAAGTCTTTACGTGATTTAATTGCTCTTCATAAATTGATAAGAGACTCGTCAGGAACTGACTGTGTAATTTTAACTATGATAGAGGCACGCTGTTGCACGAATCTGTAGGTCCGTCTGGGTACGTACCATGACCTCATAGAAGGCCGGCGTGTAGTAGAATACGTCTAGGTTTCGTCTGGTGGGTGAGATAGCCTGGGCCACCAGCTCATTTGCAACGTTCTGCTTCAGCCGTTGCTTCAAAAGTAAATTTTTCATAAGCATTGATATTCCCTCATATATATTTCGTTATTATTTTCGCTGTTGCCTGGCTATTTCGCTTCGGCGCTGCTACCAAGGGTTGTGGGTTCGATTTATTCAAGTATTTTTTTGCCTCACAGATATTGTTCCTGATCTGGGTGTTTGTTCACAAAGATGCTTGATATAAGGCAGATCAGTCGTGAAAAACCTAGAAATTACCACTTAAATCATGATTCATACGGTGACCCGACGCGACTTGGTATAAGGGCAGAAGGATGACATTGAAAGTAGAATGGCATATACTTAATCATTTCCTAAGTTCGATACATGGGGTAGGCCTTGCAAACTTTTAAGTCGCTTAGAATTAAAAGTGTGCAACGAGCACTCAGACCCTCTAGTTCTGTGAGCGGTGATAATCACTTAACATCAGGTGAACAACCTGTAGTTTTTTTATCTTATCACATAAAAGTATTCACTTAATTAAAATTCATACCCAAAGTGCTTACAATCGTCTGTATGCAGCAAGGGTGCAGCAAATTGACTTACAATTATCTAACTTAACTAATTGTAAGTCTATGGCTGAGTTCGTCGTAGATGATTCGACTTGCGTTCAAATGCACGTAACCTAGAGTTTATGGATTTCTGATTTTTCACGTATTAAAAAATTTAACGTTACTGTTTTTTCACGTTTACTCTCAAAGTCAAAGCTGCGCACCAGCGTAACAATAAAATCTACAAAATTTATAACTAACAACTTCATTTAAATATCTTTATACATATGCTGCTTGAGCTTTATTTTTAGTGCTAATCTCTGCACTTAAGATTGAACATTAAAACATGTAGAAAAAGTACGAAAAGATTGTCGCCGCTGTGGTAATCGAACCCACTTCTTCGGCATTCGCGGCCTGACGCTCTAGCCACTGAGCTAAACGGCTGACAGCCACAGCGACGAAAATCTTAACGCCTGCTTTCTACATTGTTATTTAGCATTTGAAGCAATGCTTGGTGCATCTATTGTTATATCCTTTCCAGCATTTACATAGCTGTACATAAAAATTTGATGATTCGTCTCTATACGTATTTCTCTTTGATTTCAAAATTTTGATTCAAAACTTCTGGAAGTTTAAATCTTTGGCATTAAAAAAACTCCATTAAATCCGAACATATCCTGAAAATCGTCACCGATTAGATATCTCGTACCGCTAAAACTATATATATCTTTTGTAATTCTTGTTCTAACTATGTGTTCGAGTGTCAATGTAACTTGAGATAATACAACGGAATAAGTTCCTTCAGTTTATTTATCCTTATAATTTTGAACGAAACAATCAAAACTTTTGGCATAAGGAAAAATTGCTCAACTCAACTATAACAATTCTTCCTAAATAACATATTAAAATGGCGAATAATAATTGGGTGATTGCTGAATCTGTTTAGCGGAACGAAAAATAGTTTGAATCATTTGTCGAGTCACTCAAATTAGATAAATCCAGTGAATATGCCAAAAGGGGACTTATTCGTTTTCCCCCAGGACCTCCCATATGCTATTTACATACAACAAAACATTCGTGGTTTTTCACGCGGCGATCGCAGCGGAGTTCTTAGTGGTCCCTTATCGTTTTAGGGTGTGCGCTTTGTGGAAGCGTTACAGGTGAAAAGTAAATGAATAGATTAATAGTGTGAAAAAAATATTAATATTAAAACAAGTCGCGAAGGGAAGGAGGAAAGGGATTTGTTCTTCCGCAAGCTGAAACAAATCGTCTGGAACAACTTTTCTTACACAGATTATAACGGAGGCGAATGATACTTGACTAAGGACAAGGCTGTATCTACGGTAAAAGGTTATCTTGTACTAAAATGTAATCTTTATGGGTATAAGCAAGACCTCTTTAAGATAGTCTTAACGACATTAAAACGACAATATATGAACTGATCCAAACTCCATCACAAATTTTGTCCTCTGATGGAAAGAGGAGACATATCACCAAAGCAAGAACCGATTTCAAATATATTAAATATATATAAATTCTGTTTATTTATAAATTATAAAGTCTGTTTTTGAAATATTTGAAGTATTTGAAAAAAATAATAATAAAAGAATAAACCATACATGAAAATGCAGTCATATAGGTATATATTACGATAATAGACACGATAATTCTGATTGATGATTTTAAATAAATGCATTAAATGATTAACCCCGCGGCGTCAGTACAACAATACGTACCCTAAGCGAAGATTAAACCTGTTATATAAAACGAAACTCCCACCGTTAGGAGGCTTCATTTAGATAAAAGTTTCGTAATAACAACCGTTGACGGTGATCATTCAGTGATGGGTTTGCGATTTGTCGTTTCTTTGGCGATCGGCGTTATCACTTACCGATACTGCCTCGCGATGAGCGACGAAGAGCTGACGGAGTTATTGCGGAGGCTGCCGAACATAACGGACGTCGAAAAGGAGATCGATCGGGCTGATTTGGTTAACCTCAGATTCGTTTTGATATTCCCAGGTTAGTGCCCCAGTGACAAGTGTAACGGATGTCCGCTTAATATTTTTATTTTTGTCTTTTTCTTTATTGCCGTTGACATAATTATGTCGTTTGTCCTATATCCCATGAGAATTTCATGTAAATCGTCCTTGTCTAACTTTGGGTTAGTTTCATTTCGAAATATACAATTATATAAAATTCACATTAGGCTATGGTCACTTGCGGGATGAATTATTCGTTCTGCGGGTATCGAATTAATGAAGTTTTTGTAATAAATTAACTTTTATAACATAATCTAATAATATTAAGGACACATTTTTAAAGAACATTCTCTAGTTTCAAACTAAGCAATGCGTGTACTATGGTTACTAGATAACTGATAAACATACTGAAACATTCTTTTCTTTTGTTAATATAAATAAATATATATTACACATAAATAAATACCCAGACACTGTAAAAACACCATATTCATCACACAATATTTTTCCAGCAGTGGGAATCGAACCCGCACCGTCTCGTGCGAGCAGCAGGTTCACTACTGTACTATGCCAAACGGTTCGTCACATTTTTGGAGCATCAAAATCGATAAAAATTAATTCGAATGCATTCCTTAGCCTAAGTCTTCCATTTCTGTATGTATTAATTTTTAGATAGTCATGTTTTACTTGACATTTCTTTTAGAAAGTACATACTAATATCCATAAAAACTATAATGCTATGGCTTATAGCAATTACTATTATAGTTATCGGCTTAAACCGTCCGCGAATTAATATGCATATTCTGGGTGAACTCGAAACGTAGATTGCACACGAACACGCCCGGATTTGGAGCAAATAACTAACTTAAACTTGTCCCTAATCACTTAGCCGCTAAACCAAGCTAGCGGTCATAACACAGACCTTAAAGTTTCACTTGCACAACGACGAAATTCCACATAGTTCTCGTGAAATAGTTTGATGTAATTTTTTGTTGTAACGGTTTTTTATTGAAATATTATTTTAGATGTTTAATTTTGTTTGATGCAGCTATGGCTGCCTTGCTAGGACAGAATATTGCATCTCTACGCTGATTTTGACACACGTATTTTACATGAGAGCAACCTTTTTCATCCTCGTCCATTTATTCTTCCGACAGCGAACTGAGCGACAGAGAAACTACTGAGCGTTATAATAATAATATTGTCCAATCATTAAAAATTTTTACTTTTTTACATCTTAAGGGTTCCATCTCTACCACCAATTCTAAAATATGAAGAATCGTTTTTGTATTCAGTAATTCTAAATGTAAAACTGTAAACTATTCTTCGTTAGAAATGAATAAGTACACGCTATCTCGTGCACGGTTGACACGAAATTGAAAAATAATTAAAATGTCAAGAAGCGGGTCAAAGTAAGAACCTTGTTCATTTAACAGGGTTTTATTAATAATTATTATCAGATTCATGGTATAAAATCTTTTGACCCTTTAACGAAGTAATTCACATACTTTAACAGTATAAATATTTGTCATTCTATTTTATTGATAACTACTTAGTTCGCTCGCGTTGAAGCCCTTTAAAAACTATATAGATAATTTAAAGAAAGATATTTTCAACGCTTTACGACACTTTTTTCCAATTAAAAAATTTCTCAGGCTCTAGACTATCTGTGTACCAAATTCATTTAAATCGTAACAGTTGTTTTAGCGTGAAAGCGAGACAGACAGACAGAGTTACTTTCGCATTTATAGTACTAGTATGGATGATGACTCCGTAGCGCAGTTGCCAAGGTTTTAGCTTCAGCGTCGGGGGTCGTTGGTTCGAATCCCACACGGGACCAATATTTGTGGGACCCACAGATGGTTGTTTCGCATCTGGGTGTTTATCCACGTGAATTTTACGTTTGTAAAACGCTCTTACAACACAGGATAGTGTTATACTAAAGTAGGGGGAGTGTTTAAAAAAATCACAATTTTCGTATATAAGACTTTTATAACTGTACGGATTGGACTGATGATGGGATTGAATGCATTGTCCAATGGATTAAAGTTGCAAACTGCCAGTACGAACCACAGTACAGTTCTGGTAATTGGTTCGAAATATGAAATCAGGATTCCGCTAGTCCTTATCACCTTTATTAGGACGACCTAATCATTGATCAGACCATTCTTCATTAACTATATATAACTTTCGTACGAATTACTCCTGTCTCGAACATCTGTTCGAGACAGGAGTGATTCGCTGTATCGACTGTGATATATCTATATCGACTGACGGAGCACATTATTTTTAATCCTTTGCTACAGCCGAAGAACTACACAAACAATAAACATTTAATAAGAGCCTTAACCCGAAATTTATTAACTATGTCTATGAAATGTTTATAATTCGCTGGTCGCACTTGGTAGGCACGAAATGGTGTGGCGCCGGGAACATTGCTGATGGCTACGACGACCTGGGGCCAGACAGCGAGACAGACAAGTGCTGCAGGCAGCACGACTATTGTCCCGACATCATCCCCGCTGGCGAGACCAAATACAACCTGACCAACGAGTCCTTCTTCACGCGGTGAGTTCAGAAAGACGTAAAATAATAGAGGAAGCCAGATGTCTTTCAATTGTGAGAGTTTGCTATTCACGCCGCAATGCCTGAAGGGAATTAAAAGGAAATCTGAATGCTTGAATGTTGGATTAAGGATTTCTTTTAAGAGAGAAAGTGGGGAACTAGTACGCGGTTCATCTTTTACTGAGTGTTAAATTTTGTGCATAGAATTCTACAAAGCAAAATGCATATCCTGTATAGCCGTAATACTTCAGCCGGACGGTCCTCCAACTTATATAAAAATGTCCAGTAACATTTATTTATTATGATAGTAGAGTAGCAGCAGTAGAGAAAATATAATAAAAGTTATATAGTTTGGTTTAGTGAAATAATAGTCTGACTGACTGCGTTGCGTGACTGTGCGTTCAGCCGTTTTATTAATTCGTTAATAATGCCTCTTCATTTACTATTTCAAAACACTCTACATTTTTAGATTACACTGTTCATGCGATAACACCTTCCGGGATTGTTTGCGAAATGTCAATAATCCGACTTCACTAAAAATAGGTGTAACCTACTTCAACGCCTTAGGAAGCAAATGTTACAGGAGAGACTATCCTATCGCTGACTGCGCGAAACGTGGCGGGTGAGTTAATCCTCAACGCGAGAATGTTTCTTAATGGGATAAAGGTACTAAAAGCTCATAATGAAATTTAATATTTGTTCGCTGTCTCCAGGTGGTTTGGGAGCAAATGCGTGGAATACATTTACGACACCAACGGCGAAATGAGCTATCAGTGGTTCGACGTGCCAAATTACTAAATTATTCTGCTATGTTTGAACGATACAATGGACTCTACGAAAAGAACTCATCTAAATATGAGCGCACTGACTTATATCACTAAAAACTTGTTTAAAGATAGTGAAATTGCCCGAAGAGAAGGAATTTCCCTTCCATGTTACAACAAAGCACGTTTAAATTAAATAAAAGTCGAACATAATTTTAGTAAAATATGTATATTTCATAAATTATTGCCCTGTATGTTATAACAACATGGTCAAAAGGTTTGAAATTCTTATATCAGACATTATATGAAGACACAAGAAAGAAATCAACATTATTTACGTGGATTGATGGGATCATCATAGAAGTCTTGAGAAGCTAAGAAACGAGGAAGAGGCGTTATTACGTATAACGAAATATGACAATCGTATCTGAAAAATATCACATAAATGTTCATTTCCCACCAAGTCAAATTACAATCATAATTAAGAAAAGATAAGGAAATAAGTACATAAAATTTCGTTCAACAGATAACTTAAGATGTCAGCGTGATGTAACTTTTAAAGATCAAGTGAAACAGCTTGCTTAAAGCACGAATCCGTCTTATCGTTAACAATTTCGAATGATTGCAGTGACATTCATGCGTTAATTTCGCTTTTAACACAAGGTTCTTATGGATTGTGACTTTTGTTGGGCGAGTAAAAGATATCGAGACATTCAATCTTGGTTACATTAACTGCTCTGCTTCAACCCTTAAAATTGATTTTGCTAAACCTTGTTTTAGCGCTATTATTTACTTACTAAGCCGCAGTTTGGGTGAAAATATAAACATATACAAGTATATTAACAAATGCATAAACACAATAATATGACCATTCAAAAATCAATAATCAAATGTAAATTTAACTTCACTTTGTTTTTAACGGTGGTAGGGCCACGCAGCAGCCTCGGCTATTGCACGAATGGGCAGGCCCGTCCGGGTAAGTACCACGACCTCACAGAAGACCGGCGTAAAGTGGAAGTATGACAAATACTTTCGCGTTTCGTCTGGTGAGTGAGGTGACCGGAGCCCAATTTTCAAAAGGTTGTCAACGCATCTGTAACCCTCGGGTGTAGCAGATGTCTATGGGCGGCGGTATTCACTTAACATCAGGTGAACCGTCTGCTCGTTTGACAACTTTTCACATAAAAAAAAAAAAAAAAAAAAAACTTTGTTTAATGCAAATAAAGTGTGTAAGACAAATGTTTCTCTTTTATAAATATGTAATCACTTTGACAAATTTTAAGTGCATAAGTGAGTAGTATAATTTGGGTAACATTAAAAGTAGTAAATCACTAACGCACATTACCGCCTGGTGAGAAATCTAGTCACCTGCCACATTAACTGTGGTGTGAATGGGCAGGTCCGTCTGGTCCGGTTTAGTACCACGACCACACAGAAGACCGGCGTGAAGTAGAAGTATTACACTTCTGCATTTCGTCTGGTGAGTGAGGTAGCCGGGGCTCACTTTATTAAAGGGTGGCAACGCATCCACAACCCTACAGGTGATGCAAATGTCCATGGGCATCCCTTAACATCAGGTGAAACGCCAGCTCGTTTCTAATATAAAAAAAAACTAAAGAAGCTGGTTCATATTAAATATCTTTACATTCATAAGCTTTCTGCATAAGAGCTAAAAAATTTGAAGACGTTTTTTATGATTTGTAAAACATGATGATAACCTAATTAGGTTATGCTAGCGTGTATAACAAAAATAAGTAATAATGAATGTTATTATTATAGGGGGATATTCATTTGTTTTCTCGTCTGGTTGTGTTTATAAATAGATACATATTGTATATATAAAATAAATATTATGGATAAAAATATTATTATATAAAAACAAAACTCATAACAAAATATGCAACATTATAACATTATAACTAACTATGGTATGGCCACTTAATTTTCGTCGCCTTTGCACTAATGGGCTGGTCTGTCCAAAGAAGTACCCCGACCTCACAGAAGATCAGCGCGAAGTGCAGGTGTTATACTTCTGCTTTTCTTCTGGTGAGTGAGGTAACTGGAGCCCACTTTATTAAAAGGTGGCAACGCATTTATAATCTTAATCCAGTCAGACAATAGCCACCGATCAGGCCGAGGTCCGGCCCTATCGGGCACCCTCGAATCGGGATGCTAAACGGGTATGGAGTAACAGCCCAAGCCAAGGCCCCCTCTCGGTGGCTCTTGAGCTTAGTCATGCTATGGAGCGTCCGCCAAAGCACCCTAAGATTTTGGCGGCCACCGAAAAACGGTGAGATTAATGATAGTGTGACGGCCCGAGCCAAGGCTCCCTCAGGAGCCCTCGAGCTTAGTCACCGTAATGCGTAACCTAGGTTCAGGCTAGGCGCCTCGAGCGCCCGGTCACCTCAAGTCCGGCGGATCTGTAAAGGCCCCTAAGGCCAACAGTGGCACATCCTACCAAAAAAAATGAAATCCTACGCGTGTTACAAATGTCCATGGGCGACGTTTATTACCCTCAATATATGGTGAACCGCCCGCTCGCTTGTCACCTTCCCACATTATACAAAAAAAAATTTTGATGATGTACCTATTGTAAAGCCATTAATACATACGGTTCATGCAAACGTTTTGAAGAAATCAGGGTCAGTAGATCTCAGGGCAAAACATTCGTTTCTGACACTCTTTAATGATCATTTTTGTCATTAAATTCTAATTGTACGGACTGTCCGTTTACAAATGGAGCCATTAAGAATAGTTTAGTGCTAAATTAAATTGGTTCATTATCAATGACAGCCATTACCGCTTATGAACATTTGCTAAATAATAATATTACGATACGATAAGAAATTATTTATTTTTCAAGATTTTTAAACCACCACTGACTGAATGAAAGCTACCTTGGTTCACCGGCCACCACAGCCTGCGTTATTGGTTACGTAGTTTTTTAAAAAAAAACATTGCTCTTACTTTAGGATAACTTTATCCTGTGTGGTAAAGACGTTTTACAAACAATAAATTAACGTGGATAAACACCCAGATGTGAAACAACTATGTGTGAGTCATAAAAATAGTTGTCGCGTGTGGGAACCGAACCCACGTCCCATGACGCCTTGGAAACTGCCCCTCGGAGCCATCATATTAAATACTATGTTTTGAGAAATATTTTTAAAAAAAAAATCTCAATCGCACACTTGATCGTAGAAAGGTAAAAGCTCGTTTATTAAACGTCCCACTCCTTAGCAAAAGCCCTCCTATACAAAGGGTGTAAGACTTATGTATTTTGTATGAACAGAAGTTGGGATCACGCAATGTGCCCGCGCAGCATTAGCAGCTTCTACTCTTCCATGAATAGGCTCCCTGCCGTGGTCATAGAATAGGGCTAAGTTGCCAGTCGTAAAGGCGACTAAAAGGGGACTTTGGCTTCACAAAGTTACAGCAGTACGGAAGTGGTCTCTTACTGTTGCAAGATGGCGAGGGAATAGAGGAAGGTTTATCTTTCTCCGAGGCGTATTCATGCGCAGTACCGATGGACAACGGTGAGGTCCAAAGGAGATCTCGGTGTCCCTTCAAACGTACAGAAGGTGGCCAACGAGGGATATGAAGTAGGCGTGTAGCGTATTTATCGTAACAGGTATCTCGAGATAACAGACTGTACCTGTTACTAACAAACTTAAATAATAGTTCCTGTTCCTCAGAAATTGCTCTTTAGCACGTCACAAGCTTTTCTTTACTCGTGCTTACGACTGTTACCTTAGAAAGAGATAAAAACTGTTACACCTTGTCACAGTTGTTACTGAATACTCATGACTACTGTCACTATTACAAGCTCTTTCTTTTTCTTTGATCGGTCTTATAGCTTTATTAGAAATAGAAGTACGAACGTTAACATAGAGTAACATACGTATGGTAACAGTTCCATAAATTGTCATTACATTATGAAATAACAGGGTTTTATTTTGTAACAGGTATTTGTCACTGTTACTTTTTAGTAACAGGAACATTCTAATCGATTTAACCCAGTATAGCTCACTCCTAATACGAACCTCACACACATTTTTACTAACAAAATTTATTATTTCACATGTTTTAAACTATTTTAATATTAACACAGAAATATATACACTGCCCAATATAAAGATATCCTATTTTGGCAAACAATATTTCTTCTGATTGTCTTATTTTTTTACTTTTGTTAAAGTTCCGAACTGCTTGATTTTACTTAAGTTGGAGAATTGAAGACATAATGGGGTCTATTTTCACCTCCAAGGTATTATGTATTGTAGATTTTTTATCATTAAAGTTGGTAAAAAAAAATGGACGAAATGGTTTTCGCCGCGGGAAACAAACCTATATCTTCCGGAATTGCGGTGGTAGAGCCACGCAGCAGCCTCGGCTGTTGTATAAATGGGCAGGCTCGTCCGGGTAAGTACCACGACCTCACAGAAGACCGACGTAAAGCGGAAGTATAATACTTTCGCGTTTCGTCTGGTGAGTGAGGTGGCCGGAGCCCAATTTTCAAAAGGTTGTCCAACGCATCTGCAAGCCTCGCGTGTACCAGATGTCCATGGCCGGCGGTATTTACTTAACATCAGGTTAACCGCCTGCTCTCTTGACAACTTTTCACATAAAAAAAATCGCGCCCAGACGCTTTAAGCACTAAGCTAAACGGACGATTGCCACACCGTCGAAAATCTCAAAGTATTCTATCCACATTATTTTTTCGCATTTTAAGCAATACTTCACGAATATTTGGATATTATGTCTTTTACAAGATTGTCGATGTTAAGTAATTACCGCCGCCCATGAACATCTTCAATGTTTGAGATGCGTTGACAACATTTAAAAAAGTTACCTCAGTCATTTATAAGCCCGCATATTTTCAAAATAATAAAACAAAAAATCGAAGATATGTGAAGTCCGCCAAACCGCAGTGGGGCCGCGTGGTGGACTATGCCCTGATACCCTCTGCACAGAAGAGACCTTTGCCCAGCAGTGGGACACGTATAAGCTGATACTTTACTTTAAACTACC